AGGAATAATGAATTCCCTTTAATTAAGATGTGAAAATCTTTAAATTTGTTTTGAATTTTAACTAGATTGGTGCATTTTTTGATGTTCATTGCAGGATCACGCAAAAGGTAATCTGGATGCAGGATATATAAATGGTGTATTTTAATTGGCAAAAAGACTCATCTCTTCATCATAATATCGTATTTCCCCCTCTCTAAAAAAATATAGTAATTATATATATATGTTAATTATGATGAGCCTAGCTAGTCCTAAATAATCTTTATATACTGCGCACAGCAAGCTAGCTCAACGGTTTGTATTTGAAGTTGTAGCCAATCAACAACACCACCTTTGTAAGCTCTAGTTACATATCCTAGACTTTTTCAAATTAAGTTATGTCTAGCTCTCCTGTTACAGCTAGCTTCCATAAACCAGGTACGTGCGAGAGAGTTTTTCTCTTCTGCTGGCACCTAAATTTTCCAGTCTTCTTCTGCTGCCATTTACTTGCCTGAGAAATTAATTTCTCCACAAATGTCCGATCAGAAATGGGTTTAAGAATAAGTATAATTAAGTTGTAAATTGATGTTATATATATGGTTAATTACGTGTTTCCAACCCATGCCACCCACAAACAAGTGTAATGACGTGGTTTCACAATTTTACCTTGTAGGATCAGTGACATGATCATTTGATTACTCCAAGGAAATATTTTTGCTCACCACGTTAACCCAATGTGTACTCCCACCACTCATCGTAACACTTGGCACGTGTTCATTGGCATAACCATAGTTAATTATTTGCTTTATATATTTATGGAACTATGATTATACCCATAAACACGTGTCAAATGTTGAGAATGATGGTGAGCAAAAATCTGCTCCCTTAATCTAACTTGATTTAACCTTGCAATGGTAATGAAAACATGTCAACCTCATAGCTATAGCTGCTAATTAATTGCGTGAGATTTTAAGAGCAATTCCACGTCATGGGTTAATTGTTTCTATCTTTTGAGGCATGAATTTCAAATTGGAAGGATAGCAGCTCATATAGCTAGCGTCTTTCTATGTTATTCAATTATACATATATTTTATACACCACACTATATTATGACATATATGTATTTTAATTAATCATGCGGTTGGATAAGAAGCTTCCATAGCAATGCCACAGAGTCCTTCCTTGGCAGGAATGCCCCTTTGCATCCTCACATATCCACTCTCCCCCCACCCTGTGCCCCAAGAATTCTTCACCAGCCAGTATTTAGTCCCATCACTACTAGTCCCGTATCCAACTGCGGTAACACCATGATCTAAGTTTATATCACATGTTCCAGTGAACGCACCACTTGAATAAAACTGGAATGTAGAGCCACTTGCGTCAATGGCAACCGAAATTGGTTGGTTAGCGACGGCTTGCAAGGCACATCCTCGTATTTGTTTATGGACACTGTTTGGGATGCAGCCTTCTGAGTGTTGCAACTAGTTCCATCTACACCCTTGTAGGGGTAATTAGCTTCAGTTGTCAGCCTTTGTTGCGTTGGATGAATTGGAAAGCGTCATCCATTAGACCACCTTCACAGCCATGATCTTGACCTGTAGTGTCACAATCCACAAGCTCTTGCTCTGATAGTGAGATTATTTTATTTTTTTTGGTCGAATATATTGAGATTATTAAGTTTCCGGTTTTGAGCAGGTTAACCCCTTTCTGTCGCTGCCACTGCTGAGAACGCCCAACAACACTCTATAAAATTGAAATAACATGCCTCATCATTCAATAACATGTTATGTTGTGAATGCCTCATCATTCAATAACATGTTATGTTGTGAAACAGTGAATGCGTTTAACAACTTATTTAATACTTACCACATTTGCCTTGGTCCTTGATAGGAGTCACTGCACCCTTTTCTCTCCAATCCACTTAAGGTGGCACATCAGTGACATTTCCATCTCTAAAACTTGTAGCTTTCGTGGAATTGGGTACATGATCAATTTTGAGAATCGTTTCGTGTAACCATCACGAATTTCCCGAAACTCCTCATTGGTTAGGTCTGCAAATTCATTTAAGCTACAGTGAATGCGTTTAACAACTTGTTTAATACTTACCACATTTGCCTTGGTCCTTGATAGGAGTCACTGCACCCTTTTCTCTCCAATCCACTGAAGGTGGTGTTAGAATTCACAGACTATTATCTGAGTAATTTGGATTGTTGGTTATGAAGCTCAATAGCTAAGAGAAAATGAACACACCAGAAAATGCTCAGAGAGCTTGGAGAAGATGAAAACGAAGAATGGGTCTGTTAACTCATTACCAATTCACGCACAAGTTGTGCAGTACAAATAATACCTTTAGGAGAGAATATTCCTCTCTTACATCAGCTCAATCTAGCCATCCAAACTTCTATCCTATGAGATAGAGACACATGGCAACAACAAACACTCACATTACAAACTAATGTCTTAGCCGTCCATTGGACTATAATCCAATGGCTCACAATTAAGTACACAGCTTAAACAAGCTTAATGGATCTAAACGAATATTTCAGCTAAATATACTTATATTTCAACACTCCCTTCTAAGTGTTTAGCTGAAATAACCCCAAGCTTTCTTCTCAAATACTCAAAACGATCTCTAGCCAATGCCTTGGTAAAAATATCAGCAGTTTGCTCTTCTGTTTTGCAGTACAATAGATCGATTTCTCCATTTTGCAAGGCATCTCGGATAAAATGAAATCTCCTGTTGATATGCCTTGTCTTATGATGATGCACAGGGTTCTTGGTTATGGCAATAGCAGAGGTATTATCACATAGGATTGTAGTAGCACTTACTTGTTCTTCACCAAAATCTGAGAGAACAAAACGCAACCAGATTGCTTGTGCAGTAGCTTCTGCTGCACTAACGTATTCTGCCTCAGCAGTAGACAGAGCTACACTACTTTGCTTGACTGAAGCCCAAGAAAACACACCTGATCCAAGATTAAATGCATATCCAGAGGTGCTTCTCATGTCATCCTCACTTCCTGACCAGTCACTGTCACAGTAGCCAATGAGTCTAGCTTCTTTTCCTTTCTCATATGTAATGCCATAGTCAAATGTGCCCTGAATGTACCTCAGTACCCTTTTTGCAGTTCCCATGTGTTTTCTAGTAGGTCCATGCATAAATCTGGCCAAGAGACTTGCTGCAAACATAATGTCAGGCCTTGTTGCAGTCAAGTACAACAGGCTGCCAACAATCTGCCTATAGACTCCTTCATCAGCTTGTTCACTTCCATCTTCCTTGGATAGCTTTTCATTTATTGCAAGGGGAGTAGCCACTGCTTTACAGTCCTTGAAACCAAACTTATCTAGCAATGTCTTAGCATATTTCTTCTGGTGCAAGAAAATATAAGACTCCGTTTGAATCACTCCTAACCCCAAGAAATCAGGAGAATAACTTGCCTGGAACAGTTGATCAACAACTTAAATGAATAAAAATTGATGATTCGAGAAGGTCACCACAGTAATTATACGTGGCTGAAAGCCAATAGTTAAGGACCTTAAGGTTGGGTTTGTTTTGATAGAAAACTTTAATAATAATAATAGAGTATTGTTAAACGAACTCTAAAATTAACTGAGTACACTCTATAATCTAAATACAACATAATATTTAAATTAAAGTGTAAAATTAACTAAGTACACCCTATTTAACTATCAAAAATACTCATGATACACTCTATCACACAACACCAAACCCATACAACTCCTCAATTGCACTTCTGGCACGAGCAATGCTAGAGAGGATTTACTTGCGAAAGTTTCCGTCAACCATCAGTGGGTCAGATGAATAGTCAAGCACAACTTTCTCTTCCTCATCCATAGGCACACTGTCAATAGCATGCAACGAGATATTAGATAATAATAAGATTTAATTGATTTCTTAAAAATGCCGCAATGAATCTGGCTGAGTGTATTGATTAGTTTACAATTAGTCGATCATCTATTGATGGAAGCTTATTGCCTGGGAGCGTTGTATGGGAGGGAGTCTACCTGTCATAAAGCCATGCACCTGCATAACCTTAAAGATTAGAATGGGATCGCAAGATTATGGATCGTCTTATAAAGAGGCCAATGGGTTTGCTTGGGTAACCCAACCCTGAAAAATGTCCACATACTCGAGAGTGCAAACAATGGCAGGTCCAAAAAACAAAAAAATGCATATTCCCCAATTACATGGTTGTGATAGGATGAGAATTTATATTTGTTTCACAATTCAACACATATATATATATACAATTCAATATATATATATATATATATTTGGATGCAAGACTTTGAAAATGTATGTTATCCACCCAATTTTATTATTTTTATTTTATGTTTCTCACACACACTATCAATGTGCTATACAAGTGCACTTGTATGCAAATCAAATTACATTTTCCATTAGGCTAGACCCCAGTCGCGTTATCCTCCAATTTTAAATGTCAATCAGAAGTGGTTTATAGTAGAGAAGGTCAGGCCAGGAGGCAAAACAGAGTAAACAAGCTAGGCCTGCTACTAGCCAGAGAAAGCAAACAAGAAAAGGCACAAGGTCTACCAAAGTACAAAAGGGGAAGTTACCTACTTTTATGTATTTGCAAGAAAAAATTACAAGAAAAGGCACAAGACAAGAGGACCAAGTCTACCAAGGTACAAAAGGAGAAGTTACCTACTTTCATGTATTGCAAAAAAAAAATTAGATTTGTGGTGTTCAAACTAAAAAGCTAATACAGCCAAAACCAAATTCATTGGACCAATCTAAAGCCGAGTACAACTGCCATGCCAATTAAAACTTGTTCCCAAAATAATAATAATAATTTAGAAAGAAAAAACCAAGATGAAAAAAGAAAAGAAAAGGAAAACTTGGGACTGTTGTGCCAGTAGTTTCTCTAGGTCCAGTATCAGCTGCAACAATATGTACTTTGTAGGATAATCAAGAAGATACTACATTATGCTTCCCATGGAAGTCTACCATTAAAGCTCTCCCCGCATATAAATATCTGCAACACGAGAACCCACAAAAACATTCTTACAAATCAAATTTGCAGTAAAACTCTGATTCAAGAAATGCCAACACGCCACGAGATACTCAGGTGACTCTAAACCACAATCACAAGCAGCATGAATTTACTTCAAGCAATACAAGAAAGATCAGAAAGCATCTAACTCAGAACTTTAATAGGAATCTTCATCTTTTGCTATCAATAAGCCCTGAAACCACATCCAAAACATACGCTATGAGTCACCCATTTCAATGTCAAGTCATGTCTAACTCAAGTACTTTACGTCTTTTTATTGAAAAAACGAATTTCTGTTTATGGTGTCCAATGCCTGCAGTTTAACACTTGTTTATTGAAACTACCTACAGTTAGCGAAAACACTAATGCCTCATCCATAATTAGTTAAGAACATCACTAAAACTGCACAGTACAACTATATAATTCACTCACCAGCTACCCTCGTGGAAAACATATCACTCCACTGTTAATGTTACCAACCTAGCAAGATGATTAAGTGAACGTTAGTAAAGGCCATGAACTCAGATTCCCAGGGAACTGATGCTTGACATTCTCTAAACCCAAAAGTTGTGAGTGAGTATCATAAAATTTTGAACAGAGAAATAAGATAGCAATCTCAACCAGCACGCACAAAGAGGGAGGGAGTGGGCTGAGGCATTAATGGAATAAAAAATTTAAATCTGAAAAGATTTACCAGGATATGTTTCTGTTCTTCTGTTCTACGAATTGATAGAACTCTATATAAAACTCTCAGAGCTCAACTTTACAAACGTTCACATCCATGCATAAAAGCTATAGACAACAACAGGGTGAAAATAAGTTGTGTTCGTTGAAATTCAACAATCATATTGTAAAAGCAAGAAGATGCAAGAGAATTGGGAAAATTTTATGGAACAGACAATACAAGAATTATTTTGGTGTGTCATAATTATCAGATATTTGATACAGCATGAAATCAACAGGTTTCTAAAACTATCCACATTTCAACCAGCTGGTATTGAGCACCAGAATGCTTCTAAATGCATGAAAATTCAAGGTAGAAATGGTTATCCATGAGATAAAAAAGTTGTGAGAAGGGGATATTAACTGGCTCACAAAAGTAAGCAAAAGGCAGATTGAACACCAGCTCACTTCATGAACAAGCTAAACCCACCCCTGACCCCTAGCCAACCCGACCTAGCCTCCATAGGATGCATATGTTTGCCATCATCAATTATTCTCGAAATTAAAACTTAGTTCAGGTTAAGTTAAGCCCGACCAAAGCTTTGAATTCCTCCAAATAATTCAGAGTTCTCCATATCTCTGAAACATTGTTCAGATACATGAATTGCATGACAGGAGGTTTAAGCAACTCAAACCCACCAAGTTCCTAACTTATGAAAGCCATTTAACAAAAATTAACCCTCTTAAATCACGCTACGAATACCTAGCCAGATAGGGTAAATGCATAAAAGTCTAGGAATCACACAATAGCGATGGCCTTCGTGCTATAGCTTATAACCAATACGAACAGGGAGCTGAAATTTTGGCAGTGGAGACAAGCAAATAGTTTCCAATTAACGTATGCAATACAACTTCAATGATTGATTTTGCTACATTGCCAAAGCATAGTTCAGAGTTCCAATTAAGAACCCTAATTTTAATTTCTCAATCAGGGTGGGGTGAGTTTGGATCTCCAGAATTAACAGATGCTTCAAACCCAAGGTATATCAAGAATCTCCACAACAGCTTTTTCAAACAATTAAGTAGGGATTCCCTTTCCTACCACAAACAATAAAACATCTTTCAGACCATCCAATCAATTTAAGCCAAAAGATTATACAAGCACAAACCAAAAACTCCAGATCACAAAGACATAAAAGCATCCATCAAACCACAACTCTATCCAATCATTTCAAGTGAATATATTTTACAAACTCAAACCAAACACACACAAGAAAAAGGAAAGATTTGCCTCACCATTAGAGCCCGATCGCTTGCCATGCTTGATCCGCTCGAGCTGGACCTGCGTGTCCATGAACATATTCATCCTCTGCACCTCCAAATCATTGGCGAATTGCATCCTCTGCTTCTCTAACTCCACCATCTGCCTCAACTTCTCCGCCTCCACTCTCTGATACACGTCCCCAAACCTCTCAATCGCTCTCGCCAATCTCTTCAACCCTTCTCCTCCTCCTCCACCTCCAATCTCGCCTCCGCTATCTCTCTCCCTCTCCATCTCAACCTCCTCATCAACCTCATAGTTCACCTCGTCGTCCTCATCCTCGTCCTCGTCGTCATCATCCTCGGCCCCTGCCGCTGCCGCCGCAGCCACAGCCGAGTAATTCATCCTGAAGAAACCCTCGTCGACCGCCGCAGACGACGCAGACCGCTTCTGCGGCAGCGCCACAGCCGTCACAACGGTCGCCGGAGACGGCGTCTTCCGATACCCCAAAGGCAACGGAACAGCGACCGGGGGCGAAGGAGACGGCTTCTTGTAGTTAGATCCGATGAGAGCGTCGAGCCTCTCGAAGAAAGGCCAAGAAGAGGTCAGGGCTCCGTTGGAGGACGAAACCCTATTCATCTCGAACTTGTACTTCTTCTTGATGGTGTCGATGCGGTTCTTACACTGGACGTCGGTGCGGTGGGTCTTCTTGGTGTGGCCGTGAAGGGCGTTGACGGCGTCAGCGACCTCCTGCCAGTCCTTCTGACGGAGGCACCCGCGGTTGAGCTCGAGGTAACGGCGGCCCCAGGCGTCGACGAGAGTGGAGGTAGCGTCTTCGCTCCAGCAGTCTTCGCGGACAGGCATAGGGCGAGGGTTGGAGGAGGGGGTGGTGGCGGTGGCATGGGGCGGCGTCATTTGGGGGTCCGTTAGGTCACCCATCGTCGGGAACGGAAAGTGTTTGGTTGGGGGTTGGAAATTGGGGGGTGGGGGTTTGTCCGCGTGGGTGGGAATAGAGAGAGAGTGGGTGTAGTTAGGGAGTAAAGGGGTCGCGTCGGTGGGAGGAGAGCGCCGGCCGCATGAGCCGCGAGTGTAGGAGGAAGGTCGCCGGGATGAGCGCGTGAGGTCTTGTCGATGTCATTAAGGCTTTAGTGGCTTCGATTTTACCGGCTCGGCTCGGTCCGTTTCCCATCGCATTACTCTCCGCCCGCCTTATCGGATTATTATTTTTACCGTACTCGACAATAACACTCACTAACAAATCTCTTTTGCTATAAACCTTTGTTTTTTTTTCCTTTTTATGTACTGCAATCCATTTGGATAAGTTCAAGGAATATCTCGTATTGTTTCTTAATTATCAAATCAAATTAAGCCAAATCTTTTATTTTTATTATTTTTTGCCCTCTAAACTCCTCTTTAATTCATTACAACTCAAATTTGAATTGGTCGGATCTTATATGCTTGAAATTATTCACTGAAGTTTGTTATTTATCTCTATTTTAACTTCTTTTCTTTTCTTTTTTTAGTAAAAAAATTGATTTCTTAAAGTGGCACCTTGTTGTCTATACATCATATAAACCAAACCATATAATTTCAATGAGGTGAAAGACGAGTCATATAATTGGCTCATTGTCAAAGTAACATGAAAAGTTGCGTGCCCAACTTCAAAAGCACAAGAGTTTTAGGAAATTGCTACAACTAACATTGTACGTACGGGACAAGTTATGTCAACTTTCTACCAACTTTTAGTGAAGAAAATACCAAACAAAAACCATATGTTAGACTAGAGTCTAAAGTGGAGGCTTCTTCCCATGTCATGCCCATCACATGACCTAATTACATAGAAAATCATACTAAATCCACAATATCGTGTTGTAAGTTTCAAAACATTATAATGTGGGGTATAAACCTTTCAAAGCTTAAAAAAGGAGAAGAACTTGCATGTAACATGTTTTATATTCAGTTGTCTCTGCATCTTTCATCACGTGATTATTGCAAAAACAATAATATATATATATATGAACCCCATTACATATAACAATTTTGACCCAAGAGAGGTAGTTGTCCTAGAGACTCTTCGGCTCTCAACTATCCGGAAAAAATGTATGTTCTTGAAGCTATATAAAACACATAACGTCATGCCATGGTTTGTAACACTTTGGTCACAAAAAAAGGCCTTCAAACTTTACTTGCTACTTTCTTCTGGTTATTTTATATTTTGTGTTGTATAAAAGTGAATATTATTTTTGTAGTTGTTTTTTTTTAAGAGAAACGTTATTCACACTCCTTAAGAAGCTTCATAATACGCTTATGAGATAGTAGTTTTATATGAACTTCTTCAGAATAAGAAATTTCTTAGGAGTGTAAAATAAGATTGCTTTTTTTAAAAATTTTTTTGGGTGTAATGACAAAAGAATCTTTCTTCTTAATAAATAAACAAACTCATGCATTTTCGCAACTCAAAATGACACACACCAAGCAAAAGCTTTAATGTCCCTGGCGGAGCAGAGTTGGTGAAATCTGCCACATGTAAAGTCGGAGTTTTGCAGGCAACAAGATCCAACGAATTGTAAGTGTCCACGTGTCAAATATATGAGCATTACAAAAAGGAAAATTAAAACACACAAAAATAATTTTCCTACACATGTATGTATGGATACTAATACTTTGTTTGTATGCAATGGGTATATCAAGAAAATAAAGGCTCATTTGAGACTGTTTCTCTAAGAAATATTTATGCTCATAAGTGTTTCTAGTAAGTGCTTTTATTATAAAAATGTTGAAATCTTCATAAGAAATCAAAGTGCTTTTTGGAAAAGCACATGTCAAGTGTTTCTCCATAAAGAGCTTCTAAATTTTTTTGCCAAACGCTATCAAATGAGCTTGTGGTTGGCAGAAAGAGCTTTTATCCCTTACAAAAGCACTGCCAAACAACCACAAAGTGTGGTGCGATTGACAAACTGGCACCTCCAACTGGCGAGCTACATAGTGCCTCAAAAAGCACTCCCAAAGGAATACAACAATTAAAATGCAAGAAAATAAATACAAAATGTTATAAAGAAATGGAAGTAAAGGTGGAGAAAGTGACCGGCCCTTTTGTTCTTCTCATATTGTAATCGATGAAAAGTGTGAGAGGCGCCGCTTCAATAAGAGGGAGAGGAAAGAATTGCATTTTGTGCATTTTTCCCATATCTATATATTATTCTGCAACAATAAAAGAATACTAAAATATCATTTTCTTTAGTCTTTATGATCTTCTGGTTTATGGGTATGCGCCTATTGCTATATGGTCCACATTATTATAATTTTTTTTGAGAAATGGCCCACATTAATTTAAGAATTAAGTTTTAGAAAGTTGGTAGCTTTTGTAGCTTCTTCTGGTAGCAATTTCTTTTTTTTTTTAATTATAGCTGATATGGTTTTATTAAATATTGTTACTGGTTTGATAGGTCTTTGTCTGATTTCTTATTCTATTTTTCTCCCTAACAACTACAGTATCAGAAGATTTTTTTCAGTCATATATCTTCACATTTAAGTCATGTACCTTCCCTTCAATAATAAATCTCAAAACATGTACTAAGGTCCAGAAAGTTAGGTTTGTGCAAAAATAGTGAGTGATCACTTCTTCCATGACACACTCTCTCAATCTCCCCACAAAAATACTAAATTTGGTACTACTTCAATCAGGCGTTATTCGACTATAGTCTAGTATTATATTGAATTTTGATTAAAGTTTTTTAAATACCAACGATATCAGGGAAGAGAAATTCGAATATATGACCTCGAGAGCTATAAGTTCCCGGTTTATGTATGGGAGTGCAATTGATTAACCTACTGCTATCTGACATGTGCCAATGGATGAACCACTGGATGGGATTATAACATTTCAATCATATCTGAACTCTGTCACACATTTTTTTTTGGGTGGGGTTGGCCCCAGATGGTGGGACTGTCAAGCGTCAAGAAAATTCATAGGACGGGGATCAGAACATGGGTTTGCTCATCAAAGGCTCAACCATCTGCCACCAGCCAATGTGAAAAAAAAAAAAAGGGTCAAACCCTACTGTGATTACCTTTACAGGATGCCCTTGGCACCATCTATATCTAATTAATCATTCTCTAAGAGAACAATGCTTAAAGACATGCCATATACCCACTTGTTAGCTAGTGCAAGCTAGATTTGCATTATCCTATACGTGGTGGAAAAAACTTTGTGTGGGGACTATCATTTTCCATCCACCTCAATGTGACTTTGATCATCATATTAACAAATATATTCATCCTAACTTTAATATTTCTGGAAAGAAAAAAGAAAGAGAAAAAAAAAAAGCATAAGATGAGTTTGGATGATGTCTTTCCCATCAAAGGTGCCATCATACTTTATCAGAAGTGTATCCAACTTTATTATTGAACTCGACACGTCTTGTGTTTGCCAAAAGATGTGATTAATAACGTAATCAGTAAATGCGAGAGATGAATGTACCTATTACATTTTATTATCCTAGTTAATTTTCAAAGAATCGATGTCCACATAAGATTTATGCAATATTAACACTTACCAATAATGGGAGATATGGAGTAATCATTACATTAATATTGCCAATTCAAAAGGACTACCGACACTTGAGCGAATTTCATTTTGATTTTCTTGACGAAATTGTATGACATAAAGTAAATTATTAGATAATATATTGCAATGGTACTTCAATAATCATATCACAATCACCTTATTTCATTCCATGTATGTGATAACAGGAGAATTGGTTTCTCTCTCAAAAGCTTTCCCTTAGATAATGAACTCCTTCATCCACAGAAAAGGAAGAAAAACTAAGCAAAAACCAAAACCCATAACAAGTTTCTTCATCTTTTCCCCTCTCCAACATTACAAAATTAAATCATTGCATGAAACAATTAAAACACAAACACACACACACACACCTCACTGAACTATGACCCAATTATGGCCTTCAAATATATATATATTTTTCCTGCGAACCCACCACAAAATAAAAACAATAATTAACACCCTCATAGACTCATAGTAGACCTTGTTTGCATATTATTTCTTCTTTCTCTATTAGTTCCTTCCTATATATACAAAAAGAAAAAGAAAAGAAGGAAAAACAAAGGAAAAGAGGTAGAAAGAAAGAATAATAGGCAGCAACCCTATTGGCCATAAGAACCTTCAAAATGAATGATGAGAACTAAGAAGAAGATGATGAAAAGAAGAAGCCGCCAATATTACACATCACTTGGTGACTCACATATGCTCTCTAAATGAGGCCTCCACACCCCAACACGTCCTCGCCGCCGATCCCTCTGAGACGAATGCTTCTCCGACAGTATTTCGCTCAAGTACTGATCAGATATCAAGAGGTTGGTCATGGCGATGCTGTTCATCACAACGTTGTTGTTGGTGGTGGTGTTGGTCTCTGTGTCCTTAACCCTTTTCTTCTTTGCCGACGATCTTGTCTTCGCTGATGTCTTTTCGGATGTCTTGGAAGCAGCAGGCACAGGCATGAGGAAGTAAATCTTGCCGCGTTGCAGCTCAGCATCGGGTGGAACGATCACGATCTTGGGGACGACACCGTTGTGATCGGACGGCGATGAGGAGGGCTTCTTGAGGACGTGCTTAGGGTAGGCCTTCATGATCTCGCTGGCCCGGATTGTGCCGCTGATCTCTTCGACTTTGCCATTACAGTGTACGACTCTAATCACATCCAGAGCTCCACATGGCAGAATGCAAGAGATGCAGCACCTGATGGTGTTTTTCATGGCTGCTGCTTCTTCCTACTGATTTATCTTTCTCCAAAGGTCTCTCTCATAGAGAGAGAGAGAGAGAGAGGGGGGGAGGAGAAGAGGAAGAAGTAGGGAATGAAAGAGAATGAGAAAGAAAAGTCTCTTTAATTAACCCTTTTGTTTTTTTTGCCTGTGCGAGAGAGAGAGAGAGAGAGAGAGAGAGCACTCTAGCTATGAGAGAGTGGGAATCAGTATCAGTGACCTAAAAGAAAATTGTACCAAATGATGGTTTTATTATATAGTAGAGAGCTTTTTCTTTATCTCTTTTTTCTATACGGAAATCTTTTTGATTTGTGGGATGGGAGAGATGAGGTGATGGGGGAATTTTTTTGCTCATGAGTTGCTTAGGATGAAATTCATGGCATGAATAATTGCACCTCACTCTGTACTTTGCCCTTTTGGGATCCATCATTTAGGGCCCCCTCCCATCCCTCTCCCCTTCTCCTTCACCAAGTTCAATAATTTGGGGTAGGTTTTAAAGGGTTGGGGGCCTTATGGGTGGCACATGTTGGTGCACGACTGCCAGCAAAGGGGTGCCCTGGCTGATGATCAAGTGTTTTGGTCTAGGCCTTACACGTGTCAAAACAAGATTGAACATCTACGATCACTAGTATTTACTAATATAGGTGTGTGTGTGTGTGAGTGTGGAGGCTACTTGTGTGTGGGGTTCATTGAGAAAGAGAGAGTGAGAGAGAAATCGATCGACTTTGTTGGGAGTGAATTGGGAAATGAGGGTAGGAAATGGGGCATAGGGAAAATCTTCTTTTGAGAGGGGTTTTGTGATCTTTCAACGTTTCAATATCCCAAGCAAAGATCATGTGGGTTGTGGTTTTCATTGGAAAGTGAGGTGTGATGGACTATATATAACTTCTTTTACTTTTATATCTCCTTTCTGGTTTTAGGTTTGTGAAGTGGTTTGACCCCAGTCAATCTGTTAGCCTATTTTGCAAAGGGATTTGTTCACATCATCTTCAAATAGTATGTCTCGCACTAATCAATAACTCACAATTATCACTTCATTTACACATAATATTATTGATCATAAACTTCGTTTATAAATTACAAAGATGATTTCTAATCTAAAATGTAATGATGTTATAATTCAAATATTTGAGAAGAAGCTGGTCGATGAAAACAAGAAATATGAGAATTTTTTTTCTCTATCGTAATTTAGACTTTAGTGATGTTGGTGGAAGTAAATCAAAAAGTCCGACGATAAGATCATGACACCTGAGAAATTATTCAACCTGGTCACTTCAGAAAAGAATTCCCAAGATTGATTTGATGTCCATAATATTATCATATTGACCTTTAGAACATCTCCTTGGAGCCGACCAATTGATTTGATATAAGAAAAATAATGAAGCTATAGTAAAAAAAAAGTTCGATAATTGCAAGTTAATTGTGTCCCATCCATAACATGCCCCCCCTTCCCCCCCACAATTAAATATGTGAGACGTAAGTAAGACCTTAGTCTTAGTGTGGCAACATGTGAGGTATGGAGGAGGTGGAGGGGCCATATCATTTTTGTATTTGCAATTTCAGAAATTTTCTTTTTCTTTTTGGAAATGGAAATTCTGATTTCAAAACTATTAGGTTGTGGACCCAAAAATTACATATCCACTATATTGAGGGTGCAGCAAATATTATAAAGCTCCTTTTCTTTTGCATGTGAATGTGTTGGAATAATGGATTAGGTAAAATTCAAATCCGGAGCCCACAAAGTCTACCAAAACTTTGCAAAAAGAAATAAAGAATTGTGTTCGGAAATATTTATGAATGACTTAATATCCATTTGTTCATTGTTATATTATCTGCGGGATATTATAATAATGGAGGCCGAACAAATCCAAACGTTCTTAATGAGTCGCTCCGGAAGGGTCCAAATTTGGCCAGCTGAAAATTCAACTCCATTCTAAAATTACGGGACCCTGTTTGGTACCCCACGACCAAAAACAAGCTATTCAAAAATCCATTTATCATGTCAAAGGCTACCTTTCTACATGCGATGTGCGCGGTTCTAACTCATAAATTAAGTTGAGAAAAAGATTGTATGGTTTGGATTAAATTGATCGTCCATGCATGCATAAACAATAGATCACATGTACTTGTAATAACATTTTGTTGAAAATATTTATTTTGAAAGGGAGGAATTGAAATACAGAACATAGGATGCAAAAGTAACTGATGTTAAGCACTCGAGCTACAACTCTCTTGTCATGTTTGGGACGAGTTTTGATTAGTTAGACAGGGTCTGAACCGAAATTTACGAAGCTTAAAATCTGGAGCCCGGCCTTGAAGAATTAGGGCCTGACCCATTTTACACGCTAGGTTAGTCCAGTTTATCCCAGGTGAGTAGTCCAGTCCTATAACGATGGTCCAGTCAAAGGGCTGAGCAGATGCTTCGCAAAAATGAAAAATCAAGAAAAGACGATTAAATCCGAAATGGAAAAATGAAAATACTTTCGAACTTTACACATTCCAAGACGATGACAAGCGAAAACAATAATAAACCAAGCACTGACAAGAGAAAAAAATAAAATAAAATAAAACAAAACAATAATGAGAGAAAAAAATAAAATAAAAGAAAAAAGAAAAAATCCAAAGTTCTCAGACCGTGAGATCCCCAAAATCCAAAAGCCAGACGCAGAGAGAGCACCGGAAATTCCACCTGGATTGGACTAACAATGCCAGTATTCAAAACCCCGTTCAACGGCTACTCCGTTAAGTTCAGCCCCTTCTACGAGTCTCGGCTCGCCGTCGCCACCTCCCAAAACTTCGGCATCCTCGGCAACGGCCGCCTCCACGTTATCGACTTCTCCCCGGCCCCGCTGGGCCCCGCCGCACCCCACCAGCCAATCACCGAGCTCATCGCCTACGACACCGCCGACGGCGTATACGACGTCGCATGGTCCGAGTCCCACGACTCCCTTCTAGTCGCCGCCATCGCCGACGGCTCCGTCAAGCTCTACGACGTCGCTCTGCCCCCCGCCTCCAACCCCCTCCGCTCCCTCCATGAGCACACGCGCGAGGTCAGCTCCGCCGACTACAACCCCACGCGCCGCGACTCCTTCCTCACCTCCTCCTGGGACGACACCATCAAGCTGTGGACCGTTGACCGGCCCGCCTCCGTCCGGACCTTCAAGGAGCACGCCTACTGCGTCTACTCCGCCGTCTGGAACCCTCGCCACGCCGACGTCTTCGCCTCCGCCTCCGGCGACTGCACCCTACGCGTCTGGGACGTGCGTGAGCCTGGCTCCACCATGATCATCCCCGCTCACGAGCTCGAGATCCTCGCGTGCGATTGGAACAAGTACGACGACTGCTGCATCGCCACGGCCTCCGTCGACAAGTCGATCAAAGTTTGGGACGTGAGGAGCATTAGGGTTCCGATCTCGGTGCTCAACGGCCACAGCTACGCGGTGAGGAAAATCAAGTTCTCGCCGCACAGGCAGAGCTTGATGATGTCGTGCTCATACGACATGTCGGTTTGCTTGTGGGATTATATGGTGGAGGACGCGCTGGTAGCTCGGTACGACCATCACACCGAATTCGCGGTTGGTGTGGATATGAGTGTTCTTGTGGAGGGGCTTCTGGCAAGTACTGGCTGGGATGAGCTTGCGTACGTTTGGCAGCACGGGACCGACCCCAGAGCGCCTTAAAAGGGTAGTTTCTGATTTTCTTGTGATAGTTTTTGAATTGTGAATTTTGTGATTGCTCCAATGCTGCTGTTACTAAATCATAATCCCTTTGATCTTGTATAGAAGATTTAATAAACAAGAAGCTTTCTGTTTTTGTTCTTTGGCTTCTTTGATGGGAATGAGATTGCCTGTTTGTATTCTCTGTCTTTCTATGTTTGCTTGATAAAATTCAGAGCCTCAATTAGTTAACATCACTGCTTCTTTTCATTATGGTTCTTGCTATTCTGGGATGATAATTATTTGTGCTTAGTGTTACATGAGACAATCACTTGATTTCTTCAGCAAGATGGAAATGATAGAGACATTGCAATTGGTACTCACGGTGGATTGCAGGAGAAAGCCATGGGTGGCATTTGTATGGATTATGGTTTGCCATCTGATCATGCCAGTTCCTAGTTTTTCTAACTGCCTATTATTGATGCTCGACTTACATGCTCTCTTATGATTTGGTATTTCCGATTTGGTTTCAACGTACACGGTTAACGCTATCTGCTTAGACTATGTTTGTTGCTTGAAGGTGAAGCTGTTGGTTATTCACTAGAAATGTTAAGGTATGCGAAGGTTTTGAAAGTCTTTAATGGCCTTATCAGTAGAAATGGACTCGTAAGTGTGCTTGTGTGTGTGCAAGAGAAGCAGGGTATAAGTTCCTAGATTTTTAGTGTATGTACTTATTGTAGGACCAAAATATGGTTAAGCTCTTTGGATTTATAACATTTAGTGCGTTCTTGGATGCATATAGGATTCTGCAGAGTAAAAGTGCTTACCCTGCTATTGAAAAGTGCTATTGCGCAACATTTCAGCATGTCTCGTAGAAATTTTGATGTAGGATGAAAAGGTAGGAAAGAAAATGACACTAGGAAGCTTGAAACAGTGACTTGATCTCAGCACCCCAACCGATTAATTGGATTTATGGTTTTATTTCCGTGGTTTCTTTGTCAAGTAAAGCATTAACTACATGTTCTTCACCTATTCAATTCTACTTTTGTCCTGCATTACAGTTTAGGCAATCAGTTGGATTTGTTCCTAGCATGGGATGGGAGTGCACTATACGGTCACTGTGAAACCTTCCCAGCAAACTGGGTAGTCAATAAACTTATTAGCCGGAGTCCGGAAAGCTGGTAGAGCAAAAAATGTGCGTTTGATCTCGACACCAGAAAGAAGCCAAGTTTCCATTTTCTGTTTGGTGAGTGATACATACCTTTCCCAAATTTGTAATTTGAAATAGGATTAATGCATATAAAATGGAGATCAGAAGTGTAGACTTTTGGTCAGTAGAAACTCAAATGAAATGGGCAGTCGAATGTTTAAGAGAGTCAAAAATTCTTTTAACATGCTGTAATTAGCTTCGGTGCTTTGTTTGGGCCAATGTTAAGCTGCTCGCATAGGCGCACTAGATTTTATTTCTGCTGTTGAGCTTTGGTTCCTTTACGATTATATGATTAGGATCCAAATACAGGGAAGGCAAATGAGAATTCAAGAAATTTGATTTACCCCAATGAAATTCATATAAAACAATGTGAATTAAGAATACAAATAGAGGTTACTCTTTTGATGCAGAACTAGGATGATGAAAATTTATTGTGTGAATCTAGAATATTGTGATGTGGTATGACTTGTCCACGTTGCCATATTATAATATAGTTACTGCAACTAGGTTCATTTGCTTAGTGCCCGTTTGGCATTGCTTATTTGGGGTGCTAAGTGATTATTTAAAAAATTTGGAAAGCCTAGCCCGTTTGGTAAACTATGATAAAATCACTTATTGTTAAAAATTGCTGTGAGAGAAAGCTATAAGGGAAAGCAGCTAATGAGGTGTTTTCATTTTCTGATTATGCATAAATTAGTTTCGAAGAAGCGTTAGGTTTAATGATTATGCGGGAATCATTTTCTAATTATGCGGGAATTAGTACCAACAACACTTTTAACAAAAAGTTTACTAAATGCTAAACTGCTCTCTCTCACAACTGATTTTTTTCATAGCAAATCTGACAGCGATTATTTTCACAGCACAACAATGCCAAATTAGTCTTCAGCTGGATGACAACGAATGTATACAGCTGGAAGAGTGGACTACGTATCTTTAACAAAATTGTCACGCAGGCTCTTTGCTGACATGTCAAGATATGGTCCACATGGACACATCGTGCCATCATTGCTGATATGTCAAGATATGGTGGTCCACTTAGACACAAGCGTTAAAAAGAAGGGAACCTGTCCTTCACATAAAGATGAAAGTTTTTAGTCCGAGAATCGGGAAGGAATAAGCCTTCGCAAAAGACAAGCGAATAATAGAAACAAGAAATGAGCACATGAAAAGCACATGATAAAGCAGAGTCCAATCCCAATGGCAACTTGGCAAGGGCTAACTCAGACGCCAAGCACACAATTCATCAAAATCTCCAAGTCCCAAGACATCCTTAAGCCTGCCATGAGAAGCCAAACTTTCTTTGTTTTTGATGAAGTAACTAACCACACACAGATTTGAGCAAACCATAACCATCCCCCTTTCCTTCTTTATATATAACCCTAAACTCACAGTGTCCCCAACCACAACAGCAAACAAAGACTTTGTCACCTGAAGCCTCGCCTTGAGATGGTATTTTATCCAACCCAAAAGCAACAAACGCTGACCAAAACACAGCTCATGATCAGCAGCTACCATAGCCGCACTCTGTTACCAAACCAGTGTGGCTCGAGCCTTCTCCAAACCATCGACGCGCCCCTGCCCCTGGTCTGGTCCGTCCTCCGCCAATTCGACAAGCCTCAAGCCTACAAGCAGTTCATCAGGAGCTGCAGCATGCGTGCCGGCAATGGAGGCATCGGAAGCATCCGGGAAGTCGTGGTTAAAACCGGCTTGCCGGCGAAAACCAGCATGGAGAGGCTGGATGAGCTCGACGACAACATGCATGTCATGCAATATAGCATTGTTGGTGGAGATCACAGGCTTGCAAATTACAGTTCTACCACTACCGTGCACAGAGAAGAGGAAGGGAAGACTGTTGTGATTCAGTCGTATGTGGTGGATGTGCCTGCCGGGAGCAGCGAGGAGGACACTTGTTTGTTTTCTAATACGATCATAGGCTGCAATCTCAAGTCGCTGGCTAAAGTCACAGAAAAGATGGCTGCTAATAATTAATTAGCTTGTAGGCTTAAGGGTTTTTAATCTTTTTTTGGTTAGAGGTTAAAGCTGGTAATTGTAATTACTTATCTGAGAGTTCCCCATCTGGCTTGTTAGATATTTTGTGCATGGGTAGTGCGGTTAATGTTGACTTCTTTCTTGCTGTAATAAATATGTGATTTTACTGCTACTTTGAGCGTTAAGAAACTTCATGTGTTGACAACGTTATTTTCACTCAAATTCCTTAAATTTAGTAAATAATCTAATGAGAATGTTAGCTTTACTTTTGTTTTTGCGTATTCACGATGGCCATGGGAACACCCAATATCTCACGGGGCCAGAAATACAAGCCTGAAACAAGTGGGCCATAAATCATGAAATGCATATAAATCACATCACTATTTTATAATTCAAGAATGGAGAGAGCGTGACATTATATTAGATCTAGGCTCTAGCTAATACCAAATCATTATTATAATATAATGTGAGGCTCTAATATAAAACATTTGTTGGGGTTTGTTATAACGTGGCATATAGTTTATTCGAAACCCTTGGCAATTAGCATCAAATGTTTATATATGCTTGAAATCATTATTGGGTTTTACTTCGTACATATTATAACACGGACAGAGAGCGACCAAGTCAGAAAAATCCAACCTAACAGTTTATTGCAAGTTAGTTACGGACGAGACCAGCAGATAGTTGACGGTAGTAGTAGAGCTTCGATTTTTCTTATCCACAAGTATTCTATTCTCCTAGTCGCGGCTCTTCCTGTACCATATAAATATGAACCAACTTTTTCAAACCAAAATCAATCAGATAACTAAAAATACATTAGTGGGGCGGTCGTATCATATTTATACAAATACATTAATATATATATTGTTATTCTCCTATACAGACGTTCACACGTTAATAACATACGTATGTCATTGTAAACAAGGAGGAAAGCATGAATGGATAATTAAAAATACAAGGCCTCAATTATTCTTCTATACAAACATCCGCACGTTAATAATGTATGGACATCATTGTAAACATAGAGAAAAGCAAGAAGCGATCGTAAAAAATACATGGCGTCCGCACAATACTAATGTGCTGACTAGGGATGACAACATGCCGCCTCGATTAGAATTTTTCAAGAAATCCCTGTCCCCGTTGTTGTCGGGGGAATATTAAAAGGAATCTCAAGAAATCCGCCCCGAATCCCCAAATTTTCTAATTTAAAAAAATTTATTATACCTTATAACAAAATAAATCTCGTCTTGCATGCTCTTCAAATTGATTGAATATGGGAAAGCCAAGTTATAAGAACATAGTCAGAACAACTAAGAAATTGAGAGAGAGCAAACTAGAAGCACCCCAGTACAAAATTCGTGATAACCCCAAAAACCAAAATCAGATCTCAAGATCAAATATTTTTTTTAAAATTTATACCTTGTAACAAAAATATTTATTATGTTTTACTTGTTATATTATATTATATATTTATTAATTTAAAAATAAATATGACTTATCTGGCCAGGTTCAAAAATGGGATAACAATACCATTTCCAGCCCGTCATCAACCGGGGATTTTTAAAATTCAAGAATACCCGTACCAGCCTCCGATCTTTCTCGAAATCTCACCCCGTTAGGGCTGAGAACTCGACCCTTTGAGGATTTTTATATTATATTATAGGAGAAAATGTATATTTATATTGCTAGCAGACTCTTTGTGCAGCTCCAACTCCAATCTTGAAGATAAACTCAAATACCCACGTGGACTTCACATGGTACACTTGTACTCGTGACGTAACAATGTTAAAGATAATAAAGAGAAATAATCAACCATATGGATTGAGGCAGTGCGTCTAATTGGTTTGTAACTAGCTCTGTTTTTCTTAATTTGATATTTGAAGTTCAGTTTTAGTTAAGGGTAATGATTTTCCCACTCCCATCTTGACCACTTACACTCATTTTTCAGTTATAAAATAGAGTGTAAGTGGACAAAATTGGAGTGGGGAAATTATCACTCTTAGTTAATTACTATCATGTTAAAGATAATAGAGACAATCAACTAATTCGCTTGTTTGTAATCTGAGTTATGATGCTCCAGTCTGAGAGTTTGCAGGACAAGGTTTATGGGAATTTGGGAAACTTCACCTGTAATTAGTAGCTAATGACACAACAAATATATAATTACAAAAGAACACTAGGAGGATACAGTTTTGCTTCGATTTAGTTTGTATCTTGAGATCCTCTTGGTAAAGATGCAAAAGTCAAAAAGTGCTCCAAAATACTTATAGTTGACCTTTACCACCCTGCAGGCATAGTTGCTAAGCCTAGCCTGCATTATGCAACCCTCATTCTCCAAACCTAATTTTACTTTTTTCTTAGGGTCAACATATTGATCTTCTTCTTCTCACTTACCCCTTTATTTATCTAATTTGTTTTAAAGTTTCAAACTTTGAAAGCTTCATAGACGGTTGAATGGTAGGTCTCTCTGCTTCCAGCCTGCCACTCTCAAGTCAAAGGGTCTGAAGAGCAGACGGGTAAGGATTTCCAGACCACACCACACCACCAACAAATCTTGGTGCTTCAACAAATAAATTAAAAATTCAGTTATTATTTACAGCAAGTTGGTTTCTTGTCCTGTTTAGAGTTAAAGCAAGAAGATTATATTGTGGGAAATGTTCTAAATTGACTGGTAGGTTCAGCCCTGCAGCTGGCTAGGTGACCTTAAATACATTACAATGGAGATGGATCAAAATCAAGCATCTTTAGTGGAAACCCAGTCGAGGAAATCATGGGTTCCCACAAAATTGAGATGGCTTTTGCTTTCTTCATCTGGGCATCACTGGCATGCTTCTCTTCTTGCAATAGCCTCCCAAGTGAATACTCCATAGTGGAGCAAAATGAAGTACTCAACAACTTCCCTGCAGAAGAGAGAGTGGTGGAGCTTTTCAGGCTCTGGAAGCAGAAGCATGGAAAGGTGTATAGGCATGCTGAAGAGAGTGAGAGGAGGTTTGAGAATTTCAAGAGGAACCTCAAGTTTGTATTGGAGAAGACTGCAAAGAAGAGGGCTGCAAACAATGCACATGATAGCCAGAGGGTGGGGTTGAATGGGTTTGCTGATATGAGCAATGAGGAGTTTAGGAAGACTTACTTGTCTAAAAAGCTGAAAATGCCCACCAGCAAACGGAACGGTATTATGAGGAGAATGCATGAAGAACCAGTGCATTCATGTGAGGCTCCTTCAGCTTTGGATTGGAGGAAAAAGGGAGTTGTGACTGGTGTTAAGGACCAAGGCAGTTGTGGTATGTTTCAAATCATTTATTTCATTTGCTAGTAAATACATTTCAATTTTTTACAAGTTCATATAAATAGTTCTTCTGAGTATTGTTGTGGGAACACTTTGGACTTGTAAAAGTCAGACACCAGAATGTTTATGATTTCTCCCTGTAGATTGATTCAAAAGGTTTTAGGACAGATGCACTAGACCATCATTGGTTCTTCTAATCAGCTTGGGATTACACAGACTTTCGTGCATCTTTCGTGCTGCAGCACTGCTGCTCTAAATAGGTTCAGATACATAAACTTCAGGATGAAATATAACAGAATTGGTTGAAAAAAGGCGTGAACAATCTGAACTTCGAGCAATAAGTGAGGAAAGAAATGAAACACAACCAACTTTGAGGTCAAAAGAAATCTTCCAATAAAACGGGAGATTTTAGATTCAACCAATAGAATAGATGAAATGAATTTCCAAATAAGGCCAAGATCTTTAGAACTCATCCTTCATTGACTATTTGGTATCTCCCACTTTCTACAATCAATCGATGATATCAAAAGTCACATGGTCAGGATGTTAAAAGACTCTTTAGAGACTTTTTTTGTAAAGCCTTAAGACTTTTTTTTCTTTCCAAAAACTTGTTAGGTAGTAAAATAACAATATAGCTTTCAGACCTCAGGATATTACATTTACAAATGTGTTGCACTGCTCGCTTTTACTGTTTTATTGAACAAACCATTTTTCTTACAAAAATGATAATTGATGATACTGTTCTTCTTCTTCTTTCAATTTTGGAAAACGGCATATCATGCTTGGTGCTCCCAAGTTATAAACGACATGTCCTGTCTGTAAATTGACACTCATGCTAAGTTTTATTGATCTCTTAAAGAAATCTTGTTTTTGTGTTCACAGGAAGTTGCTGGGCATTCTCTACCACCGGAGCTATTGAAGGAATCAATGCAATAGCCACCGGAGAACTCATTAGCCTTTCAGAACAAGAACTTGTGGATTGTGACAGTACCAACTATGGATGTGAAGGAGGCTACATGGACTATGCTTTTGAATGGGTTATTGACAATGGTGGTATCAATACAGAAGCTAATTATCCATACACAGGCGTGGATGGTACCTGCAATGTCACCAAGGTCTGGTTCAACCCTATAGCTTATTAATAATACATATTGTGTTTGTCTGGAACAAAGTTTGCCTATTTTCCTCTGTTCTTATTTGTGTGATGCCTTAATCAGGAGGAAACTAAAGTTGTCACCATTGATGGTTATGAAGATGTGGGAGAAACAGAGAGTGATCTTTTATGTGCTGCCGTTCAGCAACCCGTTAGTGTTGGTATAGATGGTTCTGCGTGGGATTTCCAACTATACACAGGAGTAAGTCTAATTTATGTTCATTTCACTAGTTGGCTTCGATATCTGAAATGTTACTGAGACATAATTTTAATAAGAAAAAAATTAATGTGATTCAATCAGGGAATCTACGATGGTGACTGCTCCGACAATCCAGATGACATTGACCATGCACCTCTGGTTGTAGGATACGGTTCCGAAGGCGATGAAGATTACTGGATTGTAAAGAATTCATGGGGGACTAGTTGGGGGATAGATGGATACATTTACATAAGAAGGAACACTAATTTAAAATATGGGGTTTGTGCAATCAATGCCATGGCTTCATATCCTACCAAAGAGTCATCTGCACCATCCCCAACAGCTCCACCACCACCTCCTACGCCAGTGTCACCACCCCCTCCACCAACACCACCTACACCAGTGACACCACCACCGCCACCTCCCTCTCCTTCACCAAGTGACTGCGGAGACTTCTCCTATTGTCCAAGTGATGAGACATGTTGTTGCCTCTTTGAATTCCTTGACTACTGCCTCATCTATGGTTGCTGTGAATATCAGAATGCGGTTTGCTGCACCGGAACTGAATACTGTTGCCCAAATGATTACCCCATTTGTGATGTTGATGATGGTCTCTGCCTGAAGGTATGGAAATTCTATCATTGTTTCATTTCAATATCTACTTGGTGTTTGACACTGAAAACCAACATTATAGTGTACTTCGCAAGTTGCAAACTAATACTTAACCTAGTGTAGCAAGTTATGAAGCATATTAGAAAAGGAAAAAAAGCCCTTAAGTGTATACAGAATCATTTCCCTTACCTCTCAAAGTAGATACATAGAATCAATCAATAGAGCCGGCCGTTAAACTAATAACTAATGTCCCTCGTATTTTCATTACACAGAATGCGGGAGATTTCTGGGGAGTATCTGCAAAGAAGAGAAAAATGGCCAAGCACAAGCTCCCATGGACTAAAGTAGAGCAAACAGAGAAGACATACCACCCACTGCAGTGGAAGATGAACCGGTTTGCTGCAATGCGCTGAAAAGGGGAAAGGAAGTTATTGTTTCTGTGAAGTTTGAAGAAGGTTGTCACTATTGGTATTTAAATTTATGTAAAACAGGCATTTGTTCCTCCTGTTTTTTTTTTTTGACATATGTTCTTGTGAACATTGATTCATTGAACATATGATGTAGACAAAACCAGAAACAGAAACATATTTGAGAAAAGTGATTTTTCTCTGCGTGATGTAACGGACAGAATAATTTGATCGATTACAACCAAGTTTGATGTTTTTTATTTTCCAATCTTGTAGCAGATAAGGTTCAAGACAGATTGAACAATTGTTGTCCTGGCTTTGTAATATATGTATGGTCTTTATACTAACCTATTGTACTAATTGCCATTCTTCTAGCTCAACAACAATTCTAAGCCAATCAAAAATCAGACAAAACAAAATACAGTATCCACGTAGCTGAAAACTACCCTTGTCACAGCGCATCATACTCTGCTACAACAGTGAGTACTTCTACTAGACAGATTTTCTTCCTTGACAAAGGACCTGAGGGTCCTATTGGTAATTTATGAGGCTCAATTGGAGTTGCAGACTGCCTTGCCTCCTATGATCTCACTGTGGACTTAGGCTGCCTGCCATGTTTTTGCTGAGCCCTGTGCTGCTATTGCAGAGTTGCTTTCCTAGCTGATGATATTGAGTTTTCTTTTTTCTTCCATCTATTCTTTATTAAATAAAAACCTACTTGATTCATATATCAGAAAGAAAAAAGAAAAAAGAAAAAAAAAAGGTTAAATGTACTTTCTTGGTATACAAGGGTAGATTTGTAGACGTGTAAAACTGGGAAATAATTTCAAATAATTGTCTAATTATAAACAATCATCCTAATTATAATCAGCTTAATCATTCTATCTGCTCAATTGCAGGTAGTTAGAATAAAATCATTATCAATCTGTTTGAATCACTATCTTCCAACATCTTATTCACATTAACCGTCGTATCTCTAACGAGAATATTCCTTCATACTTTTGACCTCTTTTGACAAACGATAAAATATTTACATAAAAAAATTTACAATGGAATAATGCACTAATAACAAAAGTTACCGTCACCACAATGAGACTAGCCACAACTTAGTAACGAACTCATCACAAATATTATTGTCTTACATCTGCACGAGTCGAATTCAAACCTCTTGTTTTTAACTCATTTGCTACTTCAATTAAATTGTAGTAACAAGGAAGTAACATGGACCAACGAAGATACGGAGGAGTCCCACTCCCCAATCGAATGTCGAATGCCGTAACGTTTGGTTGACCCAGTCTAATTACCAAAAAATCCCCAATTAAGAATAACTTTTGGTCTATAGGGTGGCCTCCGCAATTTAAGGGCACTTTAGAAAAAGGCATTGCTGATTGACAATCTTTTTTTATTGAACTTACCATATCATATGTTATGCCATGTATTTTGTAGACATATGAGACCCAGAAAATTATTTTCCTTTTTCAGTTTCAAATTTCAACAACCTAACTTTGACATTGTCCCAAAATAAATCTTGCCATCCGGAGAAAAAAAAAAAAGACGGAAGTAGTGAGAGAAAGTCGCATCATCCATCACATGGCAATGGGTCCAAATATGCTTTCATTTTCCACTTTCATGATGAGGCTCTATGAGCGACACACACTGCCTAATCAAATCATTTGAGTTTCTGTTACATTTTCAGAGCTTTTCTCCTAATTTTCTTCTTAAGCTGTAAATTTAATCAATTAATTTTTGATTTAGTAAAAAATAAAACAGAAAAGAATAATTGAGTATGATTTATAAAGTTGCCACGCGGACAAGGAGTCAGAGAGTGGACTGAAAAGTCTGAAAGTTGAAATAATAAATAAATAAATAAATAAATAGGTCGGTCCACTAAATTTGGCAGGATTGAAGAAATAAAAGAAAGGAAAGAGCTTTGGATCAGCAACGGTCTCTGTTTCGCAACCGTGATGTCCGTGACCACACCTCTTCTCCTCCAAAGGTCTCAATCCCGATTTAATTATTTTAGGCTTTCATAAATAACCCAGCAAGAATCAAAGGATGAATAAAAATCCCCATAACAAGAAAGATTGAAAGATCAAAACTTTATAGAGGAGAAGAGGAGGGGACCACGTTTCTAGGAACAAGCAAGCAAGCAAAGCAAAGCAAAATAGAGCAAAATGATCAAATGTACCGTACAATGTTACAATGCAGTATAGCAGCCAGCAGTAGTTTTATCTTCTGCATGTGTTTGGTCTTAGTCTACTTTACTCTCTCTCTCTCTCTCTCTCTCTCTCTCTCTCTCTCTCCTCTGTTCCGACAATCCATATACACTCTTCGAAAAGTTAAAAATCACATACTCAGCTTCTTCCACCTCTCTCTCTCTCTCTCTCATCCTTTGGCTTTGCTTTTCTTTGGTTACACTCATTCCCCAAACTCTACGGCATCATTCTCGGAGCCAAATATCATCAGGCACAGCAGGCTCAAAGCAATATCTCTCTCTCTCTCTCTCATGCAGTGAGAGCCTGAGAGGTATGCCTCTTATCTTCTTCAATGAACTTTTATTTTGATATGGTTGTTTAATGACCAATGGTGTTATCAACTGTAATGAATTTTAACTTGCAGAAATACTTTTCATGGTTTTCTGGGTAATTCTGGGTTTTATTTGATATAGTTGTTTGTTTCTTTGAAATGGGAATAAAGTTTCTTCTTTTGGCTCTCATTTCAATGTTACTGTTTGTTAGATCTTATTGATGGAATTGTGATGATGGTTGCAGATTGTTGTTGTAAAGGTTAATTCTTTCTTCTTGGCCAGAACTAGTAATTCTTTTGGTTGTGAGACTTTGTCAGAGTAGGTAAAAATCAGCTCGTCTACTAAATGCTTTTCTGTTAGTTATTTATTCATAAATCCCAGCACCTACTGACTGTCTTTAAATTATTGGATTTGGCTTGTCTGTATAGTTGTTAATGTTTTTATCAACTGTTTTTCTGTTTTGTTTTTTGATGTTCAAATGTTCTTTCCAGTCATATCTATTACAAGTAGCGTAACTGGAGTTGAGCATGATAGTTGATATAAACTCTGGTTTGTTTTAGTGATTTTATTCTTCTCCGTTTCAGGATTTATTTCAATTCGGATGGTAAGGGATTTACCATGATCTTTTATGCCACCCCTGTTATTTGCAATTGAAGCTTCTTTCTCAGTTGGTGAAGTTTGAATAAATAGAGGGATTGAGCAGAATTGGCTTGATCTGAATTAAGATATGGAGGAAAGAAAATTGAATTTGAATGCACGATTTTTGTCTGTAAGACGAATTGCTACAACACCAGTGTGCACAGATGGAGAGAAAGATAAGATAATTCAGAGGCCCGATGGACGACATACTCTTCCACCTTACAAATCAGACTTTTGTTTGGAGCAGGTAACAGAACCAGTTGCAGTTCCTTTTCACTGGGAGCACATCCCTGGAAAGGCTAAGGAAGATAAAGAACCAGAGCCTCAGCCTCGGGAGGAGACGTCTGTCACTCCTAGGCTTCCCCCTGGGAAGCCTATAGATTATGTTACAAAGCAAACTTTAGAAAGGGATCATGCAGATCGAAATGGGATTAGACCTCAATTTAAATCATATTCTTTGAATGAAAATGTGATGGATTTGAAGTGCTCAAAAGAGAAAACAAATGAGAGAAGGGCCTTGGAAGTGGAGGATGAGGATGATGTTTTTTCGGATGCGCTTGAGACGATTTCCCCTACAGAGTCTTTCTCCTTCAACTGTAGTGCAAGTGGTCTGAGTCAATCTGATGGTGCAGATGTAAAGCAATCTAGAGCCTTCTCTGTGGATTCGCAAACTCGAGATTTGATGATGAGTCGCTTCTTACCTGCAGCCAAGGCAATGGCTTTGGAGACACCTCATTATGCTGCAAAGAAGCAATATATAGCACCTGAACAACCAAGACAAGTCACAAGGGTAATTCGTGAGGATATCAGGCCTTTACCTAATGAACAAGGGTCTCACATGGAACTGCAATATGATCAATATAAAGAGGAGGAAGAAAGCGAAGGAGAAGATGATGAGTATGATCCCTCTGGCTCCATTTCAGCAAAGGGTTGTGGGTTATTTCCTCGGTTGTGCTTAAGAAATTCTTTATGCCTCTTAAGTCCAGTTCCAGGGATGAAAGGTAGGACCCGGGCTCTCATGTCTTCCTCCTCTGGGGTTATAAGACCAGAAAAAACTACTTATGGTCGGTCTCACAGCAAACCACTCAACAAGGTTAGTAGGACACTTTCGTGTCTCTAGTTTTCTTTCAGTTTTTTTGTATCCAATAACTAGAAGAAATCATATATAGAACTGACAGTCTTGTACTATTTTAATTAGCATGCCTTGGATGCTGCTTATAAGCACAAATCAAAAGGTGGAGTCAAATCAGGTGAATTGCACAAATTTGAGAATAAGAAGGCTGGTGAATCCAGTCGCTTTTCACATTCTGGTGATCTAAAGAAAGGGAGGTCATCTCCCCTGAGGCATTCACAAAGTGCTTGCATATCCCCCTATCGAAATGAAGCACCTTCTGGAGTCAAATCAGGTGAATTGCAGAAGTTTGAGTATAAGCAGGCTGGTGAATCCAGTCTCTTTACGCATTCTGGTGATCTGAAGAAAGGGAGGTTATCTCCCCTCAGGCATTCACGAAGTGCTTGCATATCCCCATATCGAAATGAAGCACCTTGTGGAGTCAAATCAGCTGAACTGCAGAAGTTTGAGTACAAGCAGGCTGGTGAGTCACGTCGCTTTTCACATTCTGGTGATTTAAAGAATGGTAGGTCATCTACCTTCAGTAATTCACGAAGTGCTTGCATATCCCCCTATCGAAATGAAGCACCTTGTGGAGTCAAATCAGGTGAATTGCAGAAGTTTGAATATAAGCAGGCTGGTGAGTCCAGTCGCTTTTCACATTCTGGAGATTTAAAGAAAGGTAGGTCATCTACCTTCAGTAATTCACGAAGTGCTTGCATATCCCCCTATCGAAATGAAGCACCTTGTGGAGTCAAATCAGGTGAATTGCAGAAGTCTGAGTCTAAGCAGGCAGGTGCATCCAGTTGCTTATCGCATTCTGGTGATTTAAAGAATGGTAGGTCATCTCCCTTCAGGCATTCACGAAGCGCTTGCATATCCCCTTATCGAAATGAAGCACCAAAGTCTCCATTTCCTGGCGTGGGGTTTCTTGGCATTCCCAGAGAGGAGAGTGTCAAAGCCAATAGTAAGTTCAATCTGCATAACAAGGGTGGTCACAAATTTCAGGAAGTGTTAAGCCACCAAAGAAGTATACAAGGGCCACGCTCTGAGAGCCCTACCATTGAGAAGACACTTTATGTAGATACTGTAAATACTGCCCAACTATCATGTTCAAATTCAAGTTCTTTAGTTATCAAGGAACAAGTAGACTCTACTGGTGAGGATTTTGATACCTCATTAAAGAGTAGAGACACGGAAGAAACTTATACTGAATCTTCGTTTCTAGATATCAAATGCCTGACTTATTTGGAGGGTGGAGGCACATTGGAACATGAAGTATCGGATTCCATTGATGACAATCTACCTTCGTTATCTGACCTCTCACACATCAAAGGCCAAGTAGTTGCAGTGAAGAACTCTCAGCTAGGAACTGGTCAGGATATTGAGCCATTCAACTGTTCAAACTCCGGTGCTAATGGAAAAAGTGGTCAGATTATAAAAGCAGATCCAGGAATTGTTGATGCTAGTTCTGTACAGTCTCCTCTTCCCCCACCTTTACCAAGATCACCTTCTCAGTCGTGGCTTTGGTCTACCCTTTCTTCAATTTCTTCGCGATATCCAATTTCACAAGCACGTACTAAAAGGTTGGATTCCAAGACATCCTCCACCAGCACCAAGTGGGAAACCATTGTAAAAACTTCCAATTTGCGCCATGATCATGTTCGTTATTCTGAGGTAATCTCACCATCCTTCATTCTCACATAATTTCATATATACAATAGAAGTTCTATGATAAAAGGGAGCTCTAACTTTTCTTCCCCTTGACAGGAATTGATTGCTCATATTTCTCAGCAATCCAAGAGTTAGAATTGCTGTGGTCTTCCAAAAATGTCTCCACGCTTGCTGCCTTCATTTGAAAAGTTTGTTTGAAGGTGATCAAAAGTAGTTAACATCGGCTGGCCTACGTACTTATTTTATTTTTGCAGAGAGGTTCTCTTCCCCCCATCGTTTTTGCTCATGATATATTACTAGATGAATAACCTTGGTTTTCTCAGCTTTTTGCTTCTTGGCTTTCTCTAGCTTACAATTGATTTCTTCTCTTACAAGTTGAACTGAGATAGCTTATAGGCAAAAAAGGTCACACGGGCCCAATTTCTTGTAATTGGAGTATATCTTTCAGACAGCAATTCTAATTTATTTGGCTTCCTGTGATGCTGATGTATAGGAATTACCAGTTTTTGTTTTGGGGGTCATGATGCCAATAGTTCTTATTGGCTTTGATATTTTTGGAAAGATTAGAGCAATCACCCTATGGATTGATCATTCAAATATTTGTATATGTCAGTTTTGCAGTTTCTTTGCTTCTGTCAAAAAGGAAATATTTGTTCTTCAGAGACCAGAAAGCAGAGACTCCATCAGCTACTTGTAACTCAAATAAAGTATTTTTCCTATTTTTTTAAAGTCCAAAAAGAAAAGCAAAATAAATCTTATAAATCCCAAAGCAGGACTGTGTAGCTACATTAGGCCCATATTATTTTGTGGGCTGTCCGACTATGAGATTGTTGGCAAACTTTGCATTGAACTCATGACTCAATCTAAACTTCCTGTCAATGGCCTACTTCAATTCAGTTTATTTTAACTTCACCCAGTTTCAATGTTTTCCGACCAAAAAAAAGGTTTCAATGTTATTATTCTAGCAACCAAAACACTAGCTTATAAATAACATAAACTCATGAACATTTGGTCGTGGTACCTAATTTCCGACAGTTGAGTTCAAATCTCATCAACACAGTTGTTGAGTTAAATAATAATAATAATAATAATAATCACATTAGTATTTTTTTTGCCTCTATACTCTTTAAAATTTCAAGTAAACCCTTACTTTAGTCCCCTTTATTTGCTAGACCGATATAAAATGCTGAATTGACTCAAATGAGTACTTGCCAAAAAGAAAAAAATAATGGAGTCAAATGTTTTGACTCAGCCATGCCTTTCTTTCTTCTAATGCTTACATCCACTCCACGATGATTGTATGTATGTTGCATATTAAATCTACGAACACATCTAATGAATGTAATTCAATGGCCGAGATTAGAAATATGTTAAATAGTACTTATTGAAGAATTTCCCCTTTCTTCTAATGTTTACATCCACTCCACGATGATTGCCCCCCTCTTTCGAACTCTCTCTTTCCAAATCCAATCCTGCATGGAAATTTAATGATGTATCTTCATTCATGCATTAGAAGGTTCAACGAGTAAAATTTGAAAAGCCACCCACAAGTTCTTTTCTTATTTGAAAAAGCTTGTAGTAAATTCAAAACAAGAGACTTCATCGACTCCTGTTGGTTAATGATGTATCTTCATTCATGCATTAGAAGGTTCAACGAGTAAAATTTGAAAAGCCACCCACAAGTTCTTTTCTTTTTTGAAAAAGCTTGTAGTAAATTCAAAACAAGAGACTTCATCACTCGTATAGTTTTGGTTTTCATCACATACGTACGTTAAGAACTTCAGCTTCAATGTGGCCTGGCTACATGACATTGATTCGTATACACTGGAATTAATTGTGTTTGGATATACCCCCCCTATATTCATGACTATTTGCATTGCTCTACAATAATTAGAGAGAGAGAGAAAGCTTGGTGCTAATTTCCTGTTTGCTCCTGTCCTCAAGCTCTTTGTAATAGTTTTGTTTAATTCTTTGGGAAGTTTCATAAGCTTCTTCACTAACCATCAGATTTTGGAAAATCGTCTTCTCATGATTCTCAACTCTTTGGCTGAGACCCAATTCCAATTCAGGCATCCATTCCTTGTACTTCAAAATCTTTTCTTCGTTTAACTGTATTTCAATCAGTTAATTATTAGATAAAGAATACAGAAACAAAATTTAAACTAATGAATATAAATGATGAGAAACGTACCTCAAGCCTAAATGGGGGCTCGAATTCAGTTTTGTGGCAACTGGAATTGCTGATAGAATTGTGTGAATTTGTTGGAAACCGCCTTGTGTTCATGTTCTCTCCAAGGTTCCATTCTGTTGATCTTGTATTGTGGAAAAACTGCCCATTATTCAACCTTGGTGTGGTGCGCATATGATGCACTAGATGATCAGATTGGGAGCCATTATAATTATGTGACCAATTGATTTTGGCAGGAAATCTTTTAGCTCTCCAACATTGTTGTTTGTTAATCATTCCAAATGGAGGCCATTTCTTTTCCTCAAGAAACCTGCTAGGGTTTATGGGGACAGTAGTCGATCGCACCGTCATTTCCCTGGATTTGTTGCCTTGTACAACTTCTTTGTTTAGTAGAGAACATGATGACCTTAATTATTAGAACAACATCATGCATCAGGTTTAACAGATCAAAGAGAGAGGGAGAGAGAGACAATTTGTATGGTATAAACTAATGTATATATACCTTGGAAGGTTAGGTTTAAAATCTGAGTGTAGTGATTGTCTGTGGTCGTGTGAAGGTGTCGCTACAACAATGCCACCGTTGTCCGTTCTAAAGTACACATGTTGATGAGGCTGCTTAATTTTTTGGTGTAACATGCAAGCTATGTGATCTCTCCCATGCGTGGATTCTTGTTTCTCAGATAGCACTGTACATTAATAAATAAATAAAGGAAATTTAGTTGCGTGAATGAGTTTTTTTAATCTGAAATTTAATTTTTTTTCACTTTCTTTTTCCTTGAACAAATTAAAAATTCAATATTATAAACTCAAAGATGAGAGATGAAATTTTACCTTGACCATCCCCATCAAGCTTCTTACTTCGATACATCTGATAATGAAAAATGCATTATTATATAGAAGGATATCAGTTGGGAAAACAAGGAAGGATGGGCAAATTATATATCAGAACAGAAGCTGGTTTGAGAATTAGTCTATGATACCTGCAAGTGACTCTTTACATGCGAAATGCTAAGTCCTTTCACATTCATGAGCTGAAGAACTAACTTGGGAGTTGCTCCTACACCAATAAATAAAGGGAAGAATTAAAACTAATGTCAAAAGAGAGAGAGAGAGAGAGAGAGAGAGAGAGAGAGAGAGAGAGAGAGATATATATATATATATTATATGATCTAGCTAAGCTAGAAACTTACTGTCTTGGCCACCGAGTCTTTCAACAGCATGAACAAAAGAAAGATGCAGTTGAGGTGTCCACCGGAGACGAGGCATTTTCGATCTCACATATTGCCTTACTTTCCCTCTCCGCCCTTCATTTCCTTCAGCACTGGATGCAGTACTACTATTGATATTCCCTCGACCTCTTTTTTCGTCGTCTTCGTCCACACTCAGTTCGAATTCTTCAAACTTGGTATCATCACAATTGTCACTACCAGCTTCTTTATTCAAATCAAAGGATGAGCATTTTAATTGGGAAGACCCCTCTGATGTGTTTTCTTCCTGATCACCATAATCTTGCTCATTGGTCATGGCTAGCTCCAGCTAGCTTCTTAAACTCCCAAGACTGATAAGTGATGTCCTCTTAATCAGGTTGCTGTATGTTGCTGAAAAAAAAAAATCATCAAATGGGAATTAAAAACAGTGAATTTCACAAGAAAAGAAAAGGAGAACTAAAGTCCTTTTATAGTCATCCTGCACGCTTGGTAAGATTGCGCCCGAATTAAATACATTTTGAAAACAAATCCTGAATGGACATGATCATTGAAAAGTATAAAGATGCATCGAAGTTAATTTGCATTGCTAAGAACAAGAGTTTTCATCAATATGTTGATAAGAGTTCAGCTGTTATCTGCCACTCCAGAATCAATTATAAACAAAAGATGAAAAGAAAAAGAAAAATCAAAGTTACACACACACACACACACACACACACATATCTATACAAAAATTTAGATTTTATGCTTAATTCTTGAGAGAGAGAGGCAGAGAGCAAGATCTCTTATCAATAGATCGATAATCATAGTTTAAGAAAATGAACATTAGGGTAGGCAAATAATAGATCATATACAGGTAATGAACATAAGCTGAAACTGGTGTGTCATTGGCGGTTAATTTCTCAAAAGTAACGAGCCATCCTATAAAGGAAATAGATATGGCAAATTTTTTTTAGAGAGATGCTACATGTTTGCATCACGTACCCCCCATAGAAAACATGATGTTTATGATCCTCGGAAGCTGTGGGAGATCACGAAAAAAAGAAGAAAAAGAGACTAAAAGAGAAGAAAAGAGGAAAGAAAGAATCTCAACCTTAATGGTTATCAATTGCTTCTTGAAGAACTCCCTCCTAAAGATTACTGATTGGCAGACAACTACTACCTTTCATTAGTGTCCAAAATTCTTGGGAAAATTCACTAACAATCATCTTGAGTAGGTGGAGGTACCTACTCAAGATTATTTGTGGTTAAAGAAGAAAGCAATTAATTAGATTATCATCACAAAACTAATTAAAGAGTTACTTTATTCACTCTCTTTTTCCTAAATAAAAACCATTGATGGTGAAAGTACTTGCCTCAATCCTTCTTCCAAGTAATCAAACAGTTCGCCATACCGATTCGAGGATGTGGTGAAAGGGGAGAGCTAGAGATGCATATAAGTTTCTTAATTAGTAATGAAAAGATTTGGCCATATTGGTTTTGGGATGTTTTTGTTTGGTCCAAAGACTCCAAACAATGGAATTAAAGTCATCCAAATGCAGATATTCCAAGACTTTCATGACATAAGAAAGTTAATACTCACATTATGGATACAGATCATACAACTACTGCTTCCTTGGATTGTTGGAAATCATGTGACTCCTCTTTCCCTTTTCTTCCTTGCCTCTCCTTTTCAGTTTTCACACTTGTCCTTTTACAATCTGTGCTCTCTGAGCTGTGTTTCTCTCTCTCTCTCTCTCTCTCTCTCTCTCTCTCTCTCTCTCTCTCTCTCTCTCTCTCTCTCTCTCTCTCTCTCTCTCTCTCTCTCTCTCTCTCTCTCTCTCTCTCTCAAATGCTCGTGGTTATCTTAATTGTCTTGACCTCGGAGGAGACTCCTCTCTGGTCTATTGGTTTATTAATGATAATCAAATGTTGTTTTGTTCAGTAAGTTTCATCTTGGTTAATGTAATGAACTAATTATTGATAAATTAAGCAAGAGTGGGGACCTCTTATGTCATCGCTCTCAATTTCAATTCCCACCTAAAATTGGACTTTTTCCCATTATCAACATGCACACCTGTTTTCCTGTGTGTGTCGACGTCGTCATCCCTATAGGTTTTTCGATTCTAGCACGCACACTTTGCCGTAGCTCTTGCCTTTCATTATTGGTAAGGTTGTTTCATATAAACACTAAATTTTGTGGGGCCATGCATGGTGAGGTGAGAATTCTTGAGATTGAATATAAAACTGGTCAATTTTGGTGGGACTTCATGCGAGCTAGACCAAATGGCATGCATCGATCATTCCCATAACATAATTTTCCAATTCTGCAAATTGATTTCACACTGATATGCATGCCCATCTCTATCTGCAGACAAATTAAATATACTTTAGACAAAATGAATGAATAATCTAAAAGTTGAAACAATGACTTCAACTTCTACACATATACTTAATAAGAACACGATTATCAATTTCAATGGGTGTTAGTTGGATTGGAATGGCTTGTGTACTTCCAAGTGATCATGGGTTCTCAAGCCCCAATGTTACCCGTGTGTGTAAGTTTTCCCCCCTCCTCTTTCCTAACTTTGACTATATATAAAAAAAAAAAGACATGAAAGAATATATTACAGACATATACTATAAGGAGAAATTAATCGCATATCATTCTAGTCAAAATAATTTGAAATTATTACTTGAACAGAAGATGCTGAAGCATTTCATGATGATCTTGTGGAACTTGATATTTTAATGTTGTTGTTTAAAAGATGCTGATATTTCGAGAAGGGGGGATTTATCACCTACCTGTTTGACTAAGTACAGTTGCTTTTAAAAGAATACATGTTAGAGGAAGAAGCTAGTCTCACTACTAACTTTGTTGACTACTTATAACCCTAGCTAACCATTTCTGTTATGTCTTCTAGCAGATGTTAAAAGTCAATTTTGTCCACTGTTTCGTGATAAGTATCTGCAAGAAAATAGTTTATATTTTTAGAGAGTAGAACGTAATGCATCCAGCGGGTAGAAAGCTGATTGCTGGCCTTGCAAAATGAGTGCCACTCGTAGTAATCATATATAATCACGACCATCGTTTACATGCAGATGGGGTTATAACATTAAAAGTCAGAATCTGATGATGATGAAGAGAGCGTTTGTTTAATAATGTCCGAGTTGGAACAAAGTTGATGATGGGTGCATGTTACCAAATTAATTCCACCTATCACACTACACCAGTTGGCCGTATAAGTTTTGTCTCCGCAAAATCACGAGTCACCCATAAATAGAAATGTTCTCATACCAAAGTGTCTAATAACATAAATTTATGTTGTCAAATTATAAAATCGTTAATCAAGTTGATTCTTACTTAAATACATCGTTTCAAAATACCTTTTATTATCCCTAATATATATTATGTGCAACATTTTATTATCATATTCCCTACCATCCAAAGTCGTTTACTTTCCAAGGCATCCAGAGAGAAATTGGACTGTCCTGACTCCTGTGCCAAAAGAGTCCTCCTTATAGTCTTTGGGAAAGAAGAGGAATCATTTGGTTAATTTGACTAACCTAGAACGATAGCTGAATATATAGCCATACATTTAACCAACAGAATTTTGGTCAAATTAGTTAATCGATTTCGATGGGTTAATTGAGTAAAAACAAAACAAGCAGCTGTCAGTTTCTGATTAACCTAATGGGACGGTCGTCCCCTCCGATTTTCAAAACTAGGAACAAAGTAAAAAAAAAGCATTTTTGCTCTTTTGTCTTCACGTATGCATGGGGAGTTGACAATTTCAATTTCTTTTGAAGCCAAGAAAGAATCTTTCAATTAGTTTTCTCTATAATATTCCCCACAATGGAGACATCCATCCAATCCTAACCTAGCTAGCAGCTAGCACCGCTATGCAATATCTTGGTCTTTAAATAAGAGCTACTGGGTTTTATTTTAATTTAACCAGAAAGGAGAATCATGTCTGGTTATAGTATTTTAATGGATTTTAATATGATTTCATGCATGTCCGGGTATAACTCTGTTTGTCTTCTTACGATTGTTTGCAGATATCATTTCAAAATTTTTGTTTATGTTTTTGGGAAATCGACCATTGCACTAGAGAATAAGTGAAAACTGGCTGACCAAATTATCTTCTTGTTTTTATATACAAGTGCCTGTTTCTCACCGTTCCCTTTATTTTAAGAGAAACCTCTGTCTAATTAGTCTCACAAAAAATGCACTAGTTTGTGTGGTGATTGGAAAATGACAATATAAATTCTTGTACTCTTCCTTCTAGTGCATAGTCGACCGTATCAAAGAGCCACACTACAAACTAAAACAGAGACATCTCTCCAGAAATGGCACTATTTTTTTTTACAATGTGAAAACAAGTATATATTTTTTCAGATGTCTCTTACATTGTTGGAAGGGCGTTTAGAAAAGGTTGGTAATTAACAATTATTCTAATTTATTTTCTAATGGGAAAACTGATTTGGAAGGAGTGATGCGACAATCTTTTCTCATGTACTAGGTCACATAATGAGTGTTGTAGAAACAGTTGTCCATCATTCCGGAACATGTAAGTTTCTCTCATTTGCAAGAGATGCTAATAGGGTTAAGAAGCAGATTGAGTTGTTTTGTTGAAGCCAAGAGTAAAGACATAAGACAGCCTTAGTATAGCATGACCTGACAGCTCAACTTCAAAATTGGATAAAAATTCTAGAACTTTTTTTCCCCATTGCAGATCAGGTTCAATGCATTGGTGCATATGAAGACAGTAAAACAGAATCTAACTGTGCAGATCTATGAAATGTTGGCATAAGACCCGCCGCCAATATGGGTTCTTCATGATCAGAGTGAGACAGAGAGGGAGGTGACATTCTGACAAACATGTGGGAAGCCTTTGTTTTTCGTTTTTCGTTTTTGTTCTGTTTCTTATTTACCATTCTAATTGACCTGACAGGGCCTGAGCGATTGAGATTGGAAACAACTGGTGAAAAACATGCACCAAGACAACTTCCCACTAGTGAAAAAACTATAGGCCTTCTTTTCTTCTGTTTTTCTTGTTTCTTAATAAATCATTGGCTTCGCAAAGAGGGCCAAAAGAAAAACAATAGTACAATATATAGTTCATGTCCTATCTAACTTGGGCCTTGCCCTCTGGACTAACCCTCCTAAAAATTTACTTGTGGGCAGCAGGTCAAGCTTTGGGAGTTAATTAGTCTCCCTGTATCTGGTACAGCTTCAGGGCATTGAGAAGCCTTCACAACGGAACAATCAATTTAAGAAGAGTAAAAAATAAGAATCACAAGTACTTCATAAATTGCAAGCTATGCGGCCAAGATTAAAGACTGACGAAAAAAAATACGACGTTTGTTATTATCCAAAAAAAGATCAATCACAGAAACGATGTCTAGGATACAAGGTCTTTCGATCAGCTTTCACAACCAAGCCAATGTAATAATATTTACAATTGAATGCCTTGCTTTAGGAAAAAAACTGTAATATTGTCATGGCCGCTTAAGCTCCAATGTTCCACCTATCTCCTCAGAGCTCCTCCTTTTTGCAGCCAAGCAACTAACGCTATCTTACATCCAGTCCAAAATTCCCATTTACTTTCTAATGGTCGGGCCCTTGTACACCCCCCTACGGACTACGAAGTTCTCAGGAGGTTGAATCTCTTCCAACCAAGCTACTTCAGATGGTTCTGTGCCACACAACTCTTCAAGACCTTTTGATGAAAAAAGAAGAACAGAAAACAGTTAGTTCAAGAAATCAAACGTGCCTGTAAAAACAAGTTATGAGTGCAAGGAACCGAAGATACTTGGAAGATCTACACGAGGGGACTTCCGGAAATAAGAACAGTGTCGCCCATCTTCTGAGGAGTAAGGAGGTGAAAGAATGTCAAAGAGAGCACAGGGCGTCAAGGCTTTGAAACAATGAATATTGCCTCCACTATTTGGATAAAGAACTGTTGTACCACAAGGTGCACTCATTTCACAATTGCGAACAAGCTTTGCAGGTCTTGCTGTAAATTTTCACTGATCAAAACTTGAATTTCTTTTGCCCAAAATAGTGTAAAAAGAAGTAGATGCAGAAAGAAAATTGTTATCTATTACATAATAAGATAGATTGAAATGAGAATCAATATTTACAAGATCAAATATAAGTGAGTTCAATCATATCAGACTAATATATAGAGACAAGATGTATTTCAAACAGCACTAAACTTGGTAGGCCATTTATAATCTTCTTGTGTACAAGGCAACTGAAGCAAACTAGAGCATTGACTGAATGATTTCTTGATGATAATCATGGGCATACGAAACATACATAGTCACTAAGTGGACAGTAAGATAATACTGCAAAAGTATACAATCCATTGATTTCAACAATCTAATAAATTAACCATAAATCATTAGCGCACTGATTATCTGATATGATTCACAGTTAAATTCCTAAAGGCATTAACCATCAGCAACTTCAAATAGTAAAGAAGCTACTTATAATTATAAAAAAAAAGTTTATTGACAAGCAGCAAGGGGATGATGCCCTGCATACAAGTACATGAGGAAATTCAAATTGAAAAGAGAAAATTAACATCTGCAAAAACTTAACAAAGATGTTGAAGAGCAATTATTCATTGAAGACAACGATATTCACACGAATGAAGCCTTCATCTCTAAACCAAATGCTTCACTTCTTCAAAAATTCTACCATGCATATAAGCTCAAACAACCACAGTGATCAAGCTATCCAAATCACAAAAGGACCATGCCAAGCTACCAGAGAGTAGCAAAACGAACACCCATATGAAGCTACTCTATAAGAATGAAGATCATCATATTTATAAGTACATTTTAGGTTTTTCCTATTGTTTATCTACAATCATTTATGATTGCAGAGAGTAGAGTCTTAACAAATTCATCTTTATTTTACCCAACAAACCAAGAAGCAGGGCACAACTATCAGTAGTGAGTTAATTTACTGATAATTTCTTAAATGAGAGTCAGGCATCATGGCTGAGATGTATGCTGATTAAAAGAAATGCTGAACAAAAGCAAGCATGTACTTTCTTTCAGATATAATGTTCCAGTCACCAATATAAGAGGATTGCACAAACTTGAACTACTCAAAGGTAGATAGACAAGAGCACCTTTAGAAACATCAGAGCACCCCGGTAAATCAAGCCAATCGTATGATCTCACATGCAACGAACCATAAAGAAGCTTGCTCAAAACAGTCATTCCAGGATGATTATGAAGTGGTATGATAGAGCCAGGTGGCATGCAAAAGATTCCTATCTGCATGAGAAAAATATACATATCAAAGCTTATACTATAAAGGCAGCTTTAAGATTTTCCAAATTTATAGATGAACTAAAATAAAGCATACAGATCAATCTACGGGAATCAAAGTAAACGATGAAGGGATCATGGTCCAGTAGCTTACCGAAAATCTATCGCATTCATGCAAATGCAGATATTTGATTGCGGGTGGGTACTGATGAGTGCCATTACGCCCTTTTCTGCCATTGCTACCATGAATAGAATGTTTCCATCCGCGTGCCAATTGTGCTTCCTGTTCGAGACCCACATTAGAAGCCTTCAATTCATCTGGAAGAGCCACATATGAAAGAGTAAACCAATAGTTGTATGCTAAACTAAGGACCAAGAACTTCGATCATGTGCAAGCACAGAGCCTATACAGGCTGAAATCTAAGTCAATGATCAAAAATTGGTCAAGAAAATAAACAGAAACATATGGCAATCCTCCCACCTAAGATAGCACGAACTTTCTCTAGGTCTTCTTCTGATATTGGACCATTACTAGAGAAGGACACCTTGCAAGCATTATACAACTTCTGAATCACAGGCATGGTGTGAGCAATGGGGTTTTCGGACCAATTTGACCAATCAGAGAATGATGCAGTATAAATGTGAATCAGATCCAACTCCTAAAAACTAATCGTGTTGAATTTTTTTCTTTTTCTACAAGATAGCATTGAAAGGCAACTTCCTTTCTCTGCAGCAATTCCAAAATCCAGCTCTACGTGAACCCAGAGGACAGCAATATATATGCATGGTAGTTTAATCAATCCCCGTCTAAATTAACCTTGTTCTGTAGCACCTAAACCTACCAACATAACACAAATTGCAAACGCTGTCTATATTGCATTTTCTGATACCTGAAAATTCAGATCAATAAAGTAAACCACTGATAAAGAAGACGACTTTATTTTCCAAACTTTTCTCAGTATTCTCAGTAAACCATCAGAGTCAGATTAAACCAGCTAAACCCAAATCAGATTTCAGATTAAGCAAATTAACAATCCATTAAGGAGAAAAGAACCCAATACGGTGAAATTCAGTGTCTCGTATGGAATCGATGAGCTACAGAAGCATCAGAGCACCAAAATCCATTCTTTAACGAGCAGGGTTGTTCAGAATCAGATGAAAAGCAGACACATATTATAAATAGGTCAGAAAGTAGCAGAGAAGGAACGAGTTTGTGCGAAAGACGAGGAGAAAAAAAAACCGAAAGGGAGGGTTATATAGTGATATAGGAGAGCACCTGAGAACTGAGAGTGGGTTGTATGGCGGACCAACAGTGAGACAAAATATAAAGTGTAAGCTTTTGGGATTCTGGGTAAAGAGATAAGTGAGATGTTCTTGTCAAATATTTTATGTCCTATATTATCAATCAAACGTTGTACATCTATTTATGATTCATAATTCAACTTGATTAATTATATCGATTTTGATTTTAAAGTATTTTTGTGTTGATAGCATAACAACAAATGTAATATTTATAGGGAAAACTTCGGGTTCACACTCAAGATAAGAGTTCGACTATCATATTTTTCTAATAAGTTTATTAAAATAAATTCGAGTGGATCTCAATCATCGAGGTACGCTACTGTTAATGCATTATGAGTCTCACAAACATCAACGTCTAGATCCACGACGTGGATACTTCTCAACGTTCATGAACATCATCATTCTCCATGTGTTGAATTGCATTGGAAATGGAAATGAGAATGGGAAGAAGATACATGAACTCAAGTGAAAATGTGGCAGCGTCAAGAAAAAAGCCAACAGGCACCATCATTGCGTTCATTGCATCCTACCCACATCGTACATTCCTATGATTCCTTTGCTTTGTCTTATTACATGATCATTAATCATTAGCTAATGAAATGTTTAGCCCAAAAGGACTGAATGTAATCGCCCATCATTTTCGTAATTATGATCCAGCTCACTTCATACTGGACATTAAGCCCACTTATAAATAGAGCCAACCCAAATGCAATTTTGCCCACTTGCTCATAATCTTCTCACATCATATCTCTCGGTTTTATACTCGTGATTACAAAATTAGAAACATAATTTTATCACTTACCTCCTAATCGCATCACATGTGCAAGTAACAATTATAATACAAATCATGTCCCTTTTTGAGACGAAAGAGTTGCCACTTTACTTTAGGCACCCAAAAGTACTTCTTTGAGTGTTTTAATTTGTCATAAAAATCCCAAATGTCAACCCTACGTGTAGAGATTTAAGTTCAGCTTGGACTTTTTGGTGCTTTTTTTTTTCTTTGTTCCTTTATGACTATTGTTAGTGCGACCATTTTTCAATACGAACATGTCGCATAGTAGTTGGTCCGAAAACGGGATAGTTTTTAAAATTTAGAGTTGAAAATTATGCCAAAATCTTGATAGAATGAGAAACCTTCCTGCTCAGCCATAGACAACATCAGCTTTAGGATTGTACGATGATCAACAATAGTTGTTAATTTGAGGTTGGGTTTTTTCATGTTTTGGTGGCCAACAAATGAACAAATGATGGCTCATGATGACCTAAATTTCAACAACTCGTAGTAACAATGATTAGAACTTAGATACAAAGATCAGTGCCTACCTAATTAATCTCAGCCGGTGGCACCTTACCAATAAAGAAACTTAGTTCAAAAAAATCGGTCGTTGAAGTAGCTAATGTGTTTGCATTTATGTTATTTGAATTATATGCTTTGACTCAATGTTAATGTCAAAATGACGATTCTAAACTACTCTGATGTACGAAAAGGAAAAAAATAAAATTAAAGTAATTTTTTACAACGTATATTTCTTTTAGCTCGAAATATGACATTTAGATATAAACACGATACAAGCACTAAAAACATAATAAATAATCTGACTTGCTGTCAAATGTTCACTCTTATAAAAAAAAATCAAATGTAGTAGTACTATAAATGCAATACTACAAGTATATGACATGATACCTAGCTTCTTAAATAGAGTACTTTGTAAACCAATTGCACGCAAAGTTTTTTTAAATTTTCGACCAAAAAAGAAAAGTTTTTTTTTAAAAAAAATATTGTCTGTAGAAATATGATGGTGGTGGGCCCATTTCCACCCCACACACTAATAACTGACGACGTGGCTAAGGTTGAGTGGCCGTGGAAACTAATATGTGAAGGGATTGTAATCTATTTTTCTTAAATACTAAAATGGGAGGAAAGGCAGAGAGGCAAGCACGCTATAAAGGTGGGCCTGGTCAACTGCTTAAGAAAATAAAAGAGAAGCGCGTCCGAGTACACCGGAAGTGGGGGCCCTCACCACCAATCGATCCATCGAAATTCCCAAAATGCCCCTCACTCCTTCCACTCTCTCTCACACACAGAGAAACACACGAAGTGTGTGTTCTGTCTTTTGCGAGCTGCCGGTTCACAGTTTGAGTTCCCGCCAAACACTTAACCAACAAAACAAGATTAACCACCAAACATATCCACCTATGTGTGTGTTTGTGGACCCCACCCAGACACAAAGACACCATCCAAAAACAAAGAAAAAAACATTCATTGGGACCCACCGCAACCCCCCAAAGCCCAAACCTCCCCCCAAAAAACTAAAAAAACCAAAAAAATAAATAAAGGGGGAAAATAAAAAATAAAAAAATAAAAAAAAACAGAAAAAACAGCTTGTAGAGGGTGGCTGTTTCTGGTGGGGGTTAGAGAGAGAGAGAGGAAAAGAAAAACTGGGAAAGAAAGAGAAAATTAGGAAGAGAGAAAGCTCTGAGTCTGAGAGAGACCCAAAAGATGGTCGAAGGGAGGGTCCTCTGAGATCATCCTGAAAAGGCAGTAACAGAAAAAAATTACGGGATTAAAATTTAATTCTTTCAAGGTTTTTTTTGGGTCGATAATCATTTTGGTGTTTTTTTCTTTGCTGCCTTTTGAAGTTTTGAGTCTCAATCACCCCCCACCTATCACCACCCTTGAACTTTCTTCACATAATTTAATTGAAATTAATTGCTTCATTCACTGCATTTCTGGTTTTTCAACTTCCTGTTGATTATCCCTTGTACCCCCAGAAATTCCAACAAGTGAAAAAAGACAGCACCAATAAAAGAGCCCCCTTCTTTATGGTAATTTAACTCACTTTCTTTTTTCCCTTTATTCTTTTTGGGCTTAAATTTTCTCGTAGATTGCTTGCACTTGAGGGCATTCCCCTGCATGTTATTCTTTTAATGCTTTTGTCCTCTGTTGGGTCATTTGGGTTGGTGTCATTTTACGTTGCTAACCTTATGTTTGTACATTTTGCTTGAATTTCAGCTGCTCCCAGAAAACTGTCTGAGAAGATAATCTGCAGAGCCGGGGATGTGCATTCGTTGACCAGAAGGGTGTTGTCACCTCCAATTACAAACCATAATCATGAGGGACCCGAATACGGTGGTGGGTTTGCGTTTTTTTGTAGCCTAGTTTTTGCTAGTTAGAATTTTGTTTCAGTTTTGGGTTTTGTTTGTTTGTTTGTTGGAAGCGGAAAAAAAAGAAAAAAGAATTGAAATTTGGTTTCGGGCTTTTGAGCATAGTGGAAGGGGGTTGCTCGTATAAAAAAACCTGGCGATTTTGTATAGTAATTCGCGTAGCTTCGTGGCTGTCAAGGGAAATAGTTACTACGACCACCATCACCACTGCTGCATTTGGTTCATCTGGCAATGAGGGGTAGATGGAACCCTTTCGGGTTCCGCTTGCTATCTCTCCTGGTTTTTTTGACTATTGTTTCGAGGTTTCGGGGTTGTTGGTCTGTCAATGATGAAGGTAATTCTTGTATGCCATTGCTTTCTGAAGTTTACAGAATGAATTGCGTTGGAATATTGGATGGGATTCTTGATTTTTTTATTTTTTATTTTATTTTTGTTGTGTATATTTTAACATTCTATTGCAATTGGTGTGGAAATGCAGGATTGACTTTGTTGTCATTCCGGGAGAATATAAAGTTTGATCCTTTTGGTGCTTTGGAAAATTGGAGTCCTAATGATAGCGATCCTTGCCTGTGGAAGGGTGTTCATTGTGTGGACAGTAAAGTGCAAATTCTGTAAGTCCCTCTTGTGTTAGATGATTACAAGAGATTCCTTTTGGTTTTTGGTGATAAGTGTTATTTTAGAAGATACCAATCTATTATTTATTGTTCACTGCAGCTAAATGGTCTGATGTTTTGATGACTTTAATTGGCTTCTTGTAGGAATCTGACGGATTTTTCTTTGGAAGGGACATTGGCTCCTGAACTTGGGAAACTTAGTCACCTAAGATCTCTGTAAGGAATCTCATCATCACTGAGTCTTTGTGGCTAAAGTTTTGAGTTTGGGCGATGTTGAGATTTTGATGTTTAGTGAACTGTTTGTGACACCTAAATGAGTCTCTTTTCAAACATCTAGCACTTGGTACTTTAGAATGAAATTACACAATTCCAAATTAGAATAAGGTTTCAGGTATAACTGCCATATGATTCGGGAAAAATTGAGTTGGGTGTTGGATTTCAAAATATCAGCAGGTATGCAGAAATAGATAGAACCTTTAAGATGGACCAGAACAGACTCATAATGATCTAGCAAGCAATTGAGTTAATACTTACTTTATCTGGATTTATCTGGATAAAGACGTAGAAAGAAAATCAAATTAGCATTTTTAAGAAAACATGATACTGTACCCTTCTTAGAGATTTTTAAACCTTGCTTTGGCTTGGCCTAATTACTTTGGCGATAGTATATGCTTTTATTGACATTATAGAACTCAATTTAATCTCTAAACACATAAGAGTTGAATTGCGAATACATATTATATGAATTTGAACAAATGACAGACAACAAGTCTGTGACCTTATGAAGTCTTCTGGTTATTGCTTCCTCTGATTAACAGTGTGTTCTACAAGAACCGTTTATCTGGTGAAATTCCTAAGGAGATTGGGGGGCTTACAAGGTTAGAGCTGCTGGATTTGAGGGACAATAACTTGAGTGGGACAATTCCAGTTGAGATAGGCAGGATGCTGTCACTGAAACGCTTGTGAGTTAGCTGTTGCATGCTCAATCTCTATTTCATTCTATAACTTTTCAAGTACCTGGACTTAAAAAAATTTGCACCACAGGTTGCTTTGTGACAATAGATTTGAAGGCAGCATTCCTCTAGAGCTCCGGAGTCTCAGCTTGCTCTCTGAATTGCAATTCGACGATTACCTTACATCCAGTGGAAACACAGGATTTGGCTGTGTAAACAGAAAGTTTGGACACTGGTATAATACTGCTTACACACTCAAATCACTCCCGTGAGTCTCACTACGATGATTTAGTTGACAAAAAGAAATCTATTCTATTGTTGATGGGTTCTTTCTTACTTTTTTGAATTTTTTGAATTCCAGTTGATGCTTACCATGGAATATCTAATCTAACTGAACTGTAGCATCATTAAGTGTACCCAGGAATGTGTAGAGTAATTTTGTTTTGGACAGCTAGTTAATAAGCACTTTGAGTTCTATCATTTAAAGGAGTTTAAATGCAAATGAGTTTCCATGGATGTTTATGTCAGAGTAACCACTTGCCAAAGGAGATAACTCCGGTAATCAGATGAGTACATTCAAATCTGTGTTTTGACTTGAGTAATGAGTTTATGGCAAAAGCAAAGTGTACATAATTTTAAAAAGTAGAAACATTAATCTGGGAATTAACCAGCACTGCCTTCTGAACCTTTTTCTGATGGATAATGTAATTCTTCTATATATGTATTGGAGTATTATCTGTTAATATAGAAGTAAGATTGTTCTCATATCTATCTTGTTCCTAATTTTTCATGCATTTCTTGGGCAGCATCTGGCAGAGCAATTTAAAACATGTGAATAATGGAGATTCCTTGGTGGTATTGCTTAAAGTAGCTTTTAAGCACTATCTCAACTACTTGTCACTGCCACGGTAGGGAATCAACTTCCTTCTTATGGCCTCCTAAGTTATGTTTGGTTTGTTTCAATTTGTTGAAATGTTTGCTCTTATTTCCAGTTACAAAAAGGACTCGCTGCATAGCCAGGTGGACGGTTGCTGTGATAATTTATCTAGTAAGTGAGAAGGTGTATAAACAAGTAGTATTGAAATTTATTCTTCTGACAAATACATTGACGTTGCATCTTGCATTAAGCAGGTTTGTTTGAGTCAAACATGGTCTTTGCTCGACGTAGGCTACTTGCACAAGCCAGTAACCTACCAGCTGCACCTGTTACTGGTACGGTACCTTCTGGACAGATCATTGCTCTACCAACTACCCGAAGTAGTGGCTCTTTCCCAGCTGTGCCAAAAGATAAAAAGAAAAATTCTCCTCCACCTGCACCTGCACCGCAGCCTCCATCTCTTGATCCTCCATCACATGAGAATTCAAAACCTAGTGGACAATCTTCCCAAAAATCAAATGGAAATATATGGAAGTACATCATTATTTCTTTTAGTGTGCTTGTCTTGCTCATTATTCTTATAGCCATGGTCTTCATGTGTCGAAGCCAAGCAGTTAAAACCATAGGTCCTTGGAAGACTGGATTGAGTGGGCAATTGCAGAAAGCATTTATAACAGGTAATTTTGTGGTGTAATAGGAAACAAAAGTTCTATTATCTAGTCCATCAAAAGAGTAACCAATAAACCCCGAAGAAAAGAGAAAATTAAAAGGTTATAAGCACAAAAAAAATTTGGTTGGGTCCAAATATTTGTTTCCTGTAGTGGTTTTTGCATAACAATGTAAGAGAAGTAAACCAGATGTTCTGTTATCTAAGTGACTAGGACAATTAGATTGTACTATCTTTTTTGTTATATTAGCTGTTTGGTTACTGAAGAAATCTTCAGTACTGGCCTAAAGCATTCTTTGAGTTCTAGTGCCATGCAATACATGAGGGGGTTTATTGAAAATCATGGCTTTTGAATAACTACTGATGTCATTCTTGTCAATATATATTGACAGTCTTCTGTATAGACTTTGAAGTCCTCCTGCATTAAGATGGTCCATATGTAAAAATGAAACCTGAATGATTTCTTTATATGAGTTGCAGGAGTTCCCAAGTTGAACCGATCAGAACTGGAAACCGCCTGTGAAGATTTCAGCAATATTATTAGCACAATTGATGGGTGTATTGTGTACAAGGGAACACTGTCCAGTGGAGTTGAGATTGCTGTTGCATCAACAACAATGTCTTCTTTGAAAGAGTGGTCCAAGCGTGCAGAGAATGCTTACCGAAAAAAGGTATGTTATGTCAGTTACTAAAGACAGCGATCAAGGCAGTGTATATATGCATATATATACTAAATTCTTATAATATTATGCCATTTCCCACCTGCTGTAGATTGACGTACTGTCACGCGTGAATCATAAAAACTTTGTCAATCTCATTGGCTACTGTGAGGAGGATGAACCATTTACGAGGATGATGGTGTTTGAGTATGCTCCAAATGGAAATCTCTTTGAGCATCTGCATGGTAAGGTTCTTCCTTTTGTACTGCACATTGGAGGAGGCTTCCTTAGTTAATTACTAGCTGCCTGAAATTTAGAGGGTAACATGTATTAATTATATGTTTTTTTTACAGTTGAAGAAATGGAACACCTGGATTGGAATGCAAGGGTTAGGATCATTATGGGAACAGCTTATTGCCTTCAATATATGCACCAAGAGCTAAATCCACCTGTGGCACACCCTAACCTGAATTCATCTTCTATCTTTTTAACGGATGATTATGCTGCTAAGGTTCATACACCCTTCCGACTGCCTTTGTTCAATTATAAATTTTAGTACTTTACCCTTATAACAATAACTCTCTCTCACTCTCTACCCCACAGATTGCAGAGATCTGTTTCTGCTCAGAAACAACAGGTGGAAAGCATAAGAATTCCGGTGATGACGATAAGGAGCATTCTGAATTGCCACCCCTCTCTGATCCAGAAACAAATGTCTACAGTTTCGGATTATTGTTACTTGAAATAATTTCTGGAAAGCTCCAAAACTCAGAAGAAGTAGGGTCCCTTTCGTACTGGGTAAGTATTGAACATAAAGTAATTCTGCATTATCTTCTTTTGTATGCTTTAAGTTGTAACATCAACTCATAACTCATTGTCAACTTTGCCAGGCTTCTGCATATCTAAATGAGAATAGAAGCAACATGGTAGATCCAACCCTCAAGTCCTTCAAAAATGACGAGCTCGATGTCCTATGTGAGGTCGTCAAAGATTGCATAAAACAAGATCCTCGGCAGAGGCCACCAATGAAGGACATTACTGCTAAACTGAGGGAAGTGATCCCCATCACTCCCAACCAAGCAGTCCCCAGACTATCTCCCCTCTGGTGGGCTGAACTCGAGATCTTATCCGTAGAGGCAACCTAAAAGCTCTCTCCTCTTGACTCTCTTCTCTGTGTCTGTGTTGTTGTAAGCCAAAGTCCATATCTCTCTCTTTGTATCAAATTATTTGTTTAAAAAAAAAAAAAAGAAGCAGAAAAGTAGCTTTTTAAGTTTTAACTCTGCTCCTCCCCCTGCATAGCTAAGTCCTTCCCCATACATACTTCATGCTTGTATTCAAATCCCTTTTTGTCTTTTATATATGTCCTTATGATTCATTCCATTCTCATTCTTTCTGTTACTTAACAAAGTGCTATTCTTTTACTGCTGGAGTGCTCTTGTGTCCTAACTTAATTTATACCAGATATACACAAATATGTATTTTGTGATCAAAGTGTGAATGTAACACTAACATGGCGCTTGGATCGGCGCCTGTGCTTAATTATAAATTTGTGAACCTTATATTATACATAGGTTTTGAAGCTTGTTGCAGTTTCCAATTATTCATGTGTTTTACAGTACTGATCTACCATATGCTAATGCAGCAGAGCACTAGTTCAAACTCAGAAGCTGCTGTTGATTGTTACCCAAACAAAAATATTAAAACTGAGAGAGACATGCAAACAAACAAACAATGAGTTTCATTTTCTCTTCAAGAAATGATTTCAATTTGGTGAAGCCTAATGTGGATCATGTATTTTCCTGTTCAAAATTGTAAAACACATAACAAGGTAAAATTAGGATCCACACTCTCTAATTCCTATACAAAAAACCAGCTAACGGTTTAGGAGAGCATTTTGGTCACATTTTTTCCTCCCCCATTGCCTTAGCCTAATCTGAACCATGCAAGTAGCAGCCAAGAACTCCACACACTGCAATGGGCTCAGCACATCCAAAACACCCTTCAATGTCTTGAGCCTCACACAATCTGCAGCCTTCATCACCCTCTCCAACCCACTCAACATCACCTTCAATGCCACATCCACTAACCCTTCCACCTCCACCACCACCACCTCGCCGCCGTTCCTCACCCGGCTCGCCAACCGGGCCAACTCGACCATCCTGCGGTCCGCCATGGCCACCTGCTGCCTCTCCATTTCCCTCTCCACCTTCTCCTCCTCATACCTCATCTTCAGCCTCAACTCCTCAATCTTCTTCAGCTGCTCCTCCGACATGTTCACCAGCCTCGTCTTCCTCAGCGACCCAATGAGCTGAAACAGCATTGAAGGCTTCCAACCAGTGACCCAATTATAGGCATTCTCTAAAGGGCTCGACCAAACAGGGCAAAAGAAGGCCAGGACATCTTCGCGAGCAGCAGCCCATTTCACAGTGTAATATTCCTTGTGTAGGTTGGTGACTTTCGACACCAAAGCTTGTAGCTCTGCCTCATTCTGCAGTGTCTCCTCAGACAGCTTGAGAAGCTGTTGCTGGAGCTGCTCAAGCTGACAAACCCACTTCTCAAAAAACTCAGAGAACCTCTCTTCAACCTGGGTTCTCATTAATCTGCTCAAATTAGAGAGAGAGAATTGACGAGGACACAATAGGTGTTTGTGAAAATGCCAAAGTGACGGTCTTGGAGAGTTGGGGTTGGGGTTGGGGTTGGTGTTGGTGATATATATATATGCACAAGAGGGTGAGTGGGGTGACCAGATGGAGAGAGGAGGGGGGGCCACGGTGATGCTGCGGTGGTGAGGTTGGGAAGTGCGTGGCTGGTGCATGAGCTACGCGCAGCAATCGGCCACTAGTGGGTTTATAAGTGCTATTTGACGCTTTGCGGATGCTAAGAGGAAGGAGCAGAGGAGGGACATGAGTATTTGCCTTGTTTTTTTGTCCCTTTGTTTTTCTTTGAATGAAACTTTGTTGCGTTTGGGTGTGCTTAAGAGACATGCAAAGCTAAACGTGTCAGCTTGGGAATGAATCTGGGTTCAACGTGGAGCATGGCTAAGCCTTTGTTCAAATATGGTTGACAGGTCCCTCCGACATGAGACACTTGTGTGGAACGAGAATAACACTATTTTGCTATCATGGTATGTCATGCGTGATAACTTTTTCACTTAGCATATCGTAATTGGATTGACTGAGAATAACAAAACAGTGCTATCCATGTGAGCTATCCCTGTTTCATATAAGTTTTTCTGGTCCGACATATGCCCTCCCTGACTCTGCTGTCGTGAGTTGAGGCACCATTTGTGTGAAACCTACTATGAGGATGAATTATATTCACATTTAAATGATTTAGTTCTTCAATAATCTGGTTTTCACAAACTATGCACAGAATTCAAACAACTATTACATCTCACATGTGGACTTGATAGTAGTGGAATTAATTGTTTAATCATATTTTGCTAAGTGAAAAACATAATATTGCAAACAGGATGCTGCTGTGTCGGAGAGGAAAGACGAACACTGTTAAAGCTCTGTTTTGTAAAACAGAGGTTTTAGAGAGAGAGAGTTGCTACTTTTAGTTTCTAATGAGTTGGATTATATTGCCCTTTGGATAACTTAGCATAATTTAACTTGCGCAGAAAAAAATTCTGCAGAAAACATGTTATGCCCAAATTAAGTCCATGGATTGCTTCCAACAGTTCCCACAAAGAACACAGATACCAAACTCAATAGGTTTAGGCTCAATTAAGAACTAGGATCTGCCCTCCTCCCTCCTCTTCTTCAGCTGGGTCACGTGAGCTGATCAGGGCAAAGCTGACACCAAAAAAAAATTTAAAAAAACAGGTGGTGAGATTTGTCATCCCCTTCTACGTGTCCTCCAAATAAACAAACATTTTACACCGCCTTGCCTTCTTGTTAAGCAATTAGCATGTTGATAGGGCTTTGTGCCTACCATTTCAACTCAGCATCTCAAATGGCAAGCAGAGACAGAGAGCAATCCATATGTTGCTTCAAAAAGTGGATGGAGCTTCAAGAACAAGACCTCTCAGAGCTCCTCCAAGCCATGAAACTAGACCCCCAAAACAAAGACCAGTTAAAACATTTAGCAGAGAAAGGCATCTGTCACTTCCAGGATTACATAAACAAGAGAACCCAACTTGCCCGCAGAGACGTCTCTGCCTTCTTTGCCCCCACTTGGTGCACTTCATGGGAAAACTCTCTGCTTTGGATCGCTGGCTGCAGGCCCTCTTTGTTTTTCAGGCTCGTTTATGTGCTTCGCGGGTCAAAAATGGAGTCAAAGCTCTCTGAGTTCCTCCAAGACACAGGAGAAGGCAGCCTTGGTGAGGTTCTGACGTGCTCGCAGCTCGTTGTGGTCAACAGTTTGCAGAGCAAGACCATTAGAGAGGAGGAGAGGTTGACAGGGGAGCTGGCAGCTCTGCAAGAGGACATAGCAGACCAGCCAATTGCAATGATTGTAAAGGGTTTGAGCCAACTTGGGGAGATGAACAGAGAAGTGGAGGAGGCTCTGGATGAGCATGGCCAAGCCATGGTGAGAATTTTGGAGGAGGCAGATCAGTTGAGGCTAAGCACTGTCAAGGAGCTTGTGAACATATTGACACCTCTTCAGGCTGTTGATTTTCTGGTGGCAAGTAAGAAGCTTCACTTGTGTGTGCATAAGTGGGGCAGGAACAGAGACCAAAAGCTTGGGATGGAAAATCTGGAAGATTAATTTTGGTATGGATTTTTGGGTATTAATTTTTAGTGACTGCATGTAATATAATAAAATAAAATGCCTTCTACATTTTTTTTAAATTTGTTTTTAAAAACCTTTCCTATTGAAAAGAACGATGACATACTAAACTCACACACACTATAGACTACATGGATGCTAGAACTCGAATTCAGACCTTTTCTAAAAGAGCATTTGCTCCAAACCGCTACACTAGTGGTCCTTTGCATTTGCCTACTACATTTTCAGTGACTTTTAGTGACTTTGCATCTAATTAACTTTATCATCAAAGTATCATTGCCGCTAATCTCTCTTGATCTTACATCACGCAAATTGTACAAACAAAGTCCAAAGATCACTAATCCGTTTTTTGGGCATCAACCATTTTAAGCATCTAAACTCAGGACAATCTTTAAATTATTGAAGTGTGTTTAGATTCTAGAAAATGTAAAAAATGCGAACCGCTTGTCATCCACAAATTGAGTCTTTTGGCGGGAAACAAACCCTATTGAGGATTAGATTGTGGACCTTGAGCTCCACTTCATTTGGCGCCATTCTATGAATGGACCAACTTTTACAATCCACTACCACCAACCACCTCCCTTCTTCTTCTTCCACAATATCAGATCTGTGGCCAATACTACAACATTCCCACATGGCACCCACGTGGATATCCTTCTTGGCATGAGTTCATGAGGAAGCATTGTGGTCCAATGTGTATATCCACAACCTGATTGAGCATGCTTCTGTCAATCTGTTTCTGAACAAATTAGAGCCGTCCTAACAATGATGTTTTATTTTAGAGGGAGCAAGCAAGTGCGCTTATCCAATCGTAAACAATTTGATTAAACGAAAAGTGGGAATGATTATCCTTAATCTCATTTTCTTATTATAGTAACTTCTCCAACTGTCTGTTACTATACATAGGAGCCTAAATGAGGTCCAGTCCTTGAGTACAACGCAGAGAGAGCAACCAAACTTTTCTTTACTATTTTTGCACAAACAGCTGAATTGGAATTAGAGTCTCTATTAAGAGACGTGGTTTTTGGGAGCAGAAACAAGGATGTTGGCCGAGCATTCTGTCCTTGCGCAAGGGTTGTCTGCCGCATGCAGCCTTTTGGCATGGGTTAAGTTCCTTGTGCTTTGATTGCATTTCACAAGGGATTTTCCTCATCCTGCCTTTCGGCATGCATGAGTTGAAATTCCTTGTGTCCCCGGTCCTTGCGTTCCTCCACTTCACAACATAATTTTCGTTGGATATGAGCATGTGTATATAAACTACTGCAATCAAGCTGCAAAGTTTTTGATTGCATGTACATATAGTATTGATCTTGTTTCATCTTCACCATCAGCTGTTTCTGTGGTGGAACTTGAGGCAGGGTTTTCAGAAAAAACCACAAAAGCAAAAATGGAGAAAAAGAAGGGAAACATATTGATGAATAAATACGAGCTGGGACGATTGCTTGGACAAGGGACCTTCGCCAAGGTTTACCATGCCCGAAATCTGAAGTCTGGCCAGAGCGTCGCGATTAAGGTCATTGACAAGGAGAAGGTGCAACAGGTGGGATTGATTGATCAAATCAAGAGAGAAATCTCTGTGATGCGCCTTGTGAGGCACCCCAATGTGGTTCAGCTCTTTGAAGTCATGGCGAGCAAGACCAAGATTTATTTTGCCATGGAGTATGTGAGAGGTGGGGAGCTTTTCAACAAGGTTGCCAAGGGGAAGCTCAAGGAAGACGTGGCCCGAAAATACTTTCAGCAGTTGGTTGGGGCTGTTGATTACTGCCATAGCAGAGGCGTCTACCACCGCGACATCAAGCCAGAGAATCTCTTGGTTGATGAGAATGGTAACCTTAAAGTTTCGGATTTCGGATTGAGCGCATTATGGGAGTCAAGGGGACAAGATGGCCTGCTCCACACAACATGTGGAACTCCTGCATATGTAGCACCAGAGGTTATAAACAAGAAAGGTTATGATGGTGCCAAGGCTGATACATGGTCTTGTGGGGTTGTCCTTTATGTTCTGTTGGCTGGTTTTCTGCCTTTCCATGATACCAATCTCATGGAAATGTACAGGAAAATCAGCAAAGGAGATTTCAAAAGTCCGCAATGGTTTCCTCCAGAGGTTCGCAAGCTTCTTTCAAGGATTCTTGATCCTAATCCAAACACAAGAATAAGCGTGGACAAGATCACGGAGAACAGTTGGTTCAAGAAGGGGTTTAAACTCGTTGAAGCACCTTTTCCCCCTCCTGATCCCAACGCCTCCATCCTGCGTGATGTCCAGGCAGCTTTTGCATCAACAACAACAGATGAGTCTGCAGAAGGCAGTTCCCACAAGAAAACGAGCACGGCAGGAACAAGCCCCATGAGGCCAACTTGTTTCAATGCCTTTGACATCATCTCTCTATCGCCAGGTTTTGATCTATCCGGTTTGTTTGAGAATGACATGCAGCACAGACCGCAGGCAAGATTCACTAGCACAAAACCAGCCGCAACAATTGTTTCAAAATTCGAAGCGATAGCAGAGACCGAGAGATTCAAATGCATGACGAAAGACGGGACCCTGAAATTGCAGGGCAGCAAGGAAGGAAGGAAAGGGCAGCTTGGTATCGATGCTGAGATTTTTGAGGTCACGCCTTCATTTTATGTTGTAGAGATGAAGAAAACGGCTGGGGACACATTAGAATACATGGAGTTCTGTGACCATGACTTAAAGCCCTCTCTTCAGGACATAGTATGGACTTGGCAAGGAAGTGAACAAAAGCATGAGCAACAGCCAGTAGCACCAGAAATTGTTTCTTAGATACGTTATCCACTTTTGGAGTTCTTTTGAATTTGAGATCTAAATGTAGAGAGGGGTATTGTTAGTCTGGTGCACAACTTCAAGACAGAGTGCGGTACAGGATGGCTCGAAAATTCTGTAAACGAGATGCTGCAAAATGTGGTAGCCAGAATGATCAAAGGCAGATAGACCACTAGTTTAAATTGGTAGCCCACCCAAAGGGCAAATTTAGGATATTCCATACATATTTAAAGTGAAAGCTTTAGACTAATCTGTTTTTCCTTTGCCTTCTTTTCTTTTCCTTTGAATTCACAGTAACACTGTGAAGTGAAGAAACAAATGTATCATTTGCTTATGAATCTAGCTATCCATCATCGTTTTTGTCCCACACACACCTAATCCTGCAAATAAAGCAAGACAGCTCCAAGCACCAGAAAGTGCATAATGGAAATGAGCGACCACATAAGAAGTACTATCATATCCAATAAGGGAAAGCAAAATCTTCATCCGCAAGCATTGTAGCTTAAATGGAATTAGAATTGAGAATCATTAAGGCATGCAATGACTAAATTATTCGGTGCACGTACGATACAGATGGGTCATGACCTTCCTAAAACATGAGCAAAGTAAAGGCAATCACAGAGCACATCTGTAAACATGTACAGATCAAAACATGGTCATAGTTGATTTGTAATGCACTTGGTCCTATTTTCATCTTTTCATGTAATCCATGCATATGCATTGAAAGTCTCCTTCTTTCCATGTAACTATGCGCTGGTTTGGGGTCACCAGGGCCATTGTCAAGAAGGGTTTGATTAGGTTTCACAATCAAAGCTCAGATTCCATCAAATTTAAGTCGTTCCCGTTGCTCACGGCATGCATCATACGGTAGTAGACAGATCTTGGCATCTTTTCCCTTTATCACAAGTAAAACAGAATTGTTGTCATCACAAATAATTCGTTTTAATATTAATTGGTGTGATATGCTGCCCTATAAGGTGGCGAAAAGTGTTTAACAAAAGATTGGCTGCATTTAAGAAAAGATTAGCCCACTAAAAATCCAATCCAATCCAATCCCAATGACTTTTATAACTTGCTTTTCCTTTATTTATATACAGAATATAAGCAAAAACTGCTATCAGAAAAATCTTCACGAAATCTGAAAGTCCTCCAGTGATTTTCAAACTAGTGATCTATGCTAACTCTTTTCTTATCCATCCACATGTCTTATCCTATATTTCCCTCCATTGGTCCAGCCAATCCAATCCCAATGACTTTTATAACTTGCTTTTCCTTTATTTATATACAAAATATAAGCAATAACTGCTATCAGAAAAATCTTCACGAAATCTGAAAGTCCTCCGGTGATTTTCAAACTAGTGATCTATGCTAACTCTTTTCTTATCCATCCACATGTCTTATCCTATATTTCCCTCCATTGGTCCACAAACAAAACATGGAAAATCCACATCCAAGCCTGAACAACCCCACAAAGAAAATTGGATTATAAGTTGCAAAATGGAAGATAGAGAGAGAACACCTAAGAATCGACCAAGACAGTGGGAAAACCTACCAGTTATGTCCTGAATTATTGTTGGATGGCCATCGAGGTGGCAAAAAGACGCCTTCAGAAGAACATCTGTAAAGCCAACCACACAGATCATCAATTGATCATAAAGTCAATGAAACCGACTTCATTTCTAATTTTCTACCCTTCACCTAATGATCTCCTCTCCTCTGGTTCTTTTCAACGATGACCCTATGATTTTTTTACACGTCTTGCATGTGGAATTTGCTTTTTGTTTTTGTCACGGAAGTGGCAAACTGCACCAGTTAGTCATCTCATTACCATTCTTAGTAGATTCGCATGCGCAATTAGATCCAGTCAACTCATTAACTAATCGTTTAGGCTAATAGATTCTATAGACTTCCAGCTTTTTCTGCTCTGTTTGTCCAATCTTATGCCGAGAAATGTTTTTAGATTGTTTATTTTAACCAAATTATTGGCAGACTTGGTTTTTAATTGGGAATTAGTATTCTCTCTGTAAATTATAGAGCAAGGGCTTTGGTTGATAGCTACTTAATTCATTTTTTTAACAGGGTTAATATATGTCCATGCATTTGATATCCTGTATATTTGTAAACGACAAACAAAAGGAGCCAAATCTCGTGTCAAAGATTGCAAATCTTCTTGTGTCTGCTACTTCTATGAAAGAAATGGGACCTTCATTCTGCACCAGGAAAATACACAAAAACTTGTATGAAACGTGTATAGTACTGTTTAACTATTCCCAACCAATCACAAACTGTCACGTGAAAAAGTTGTCATACATGACATACCGTGATTGATCAGAAATAACAAAATAGTGCTATTCTTCTCGTGAAAAAGATGACCCAGAACTCGGCCAAACGAGAATGCTGACAAGAAGTTATTTATCGACATATATGGCAGTTGCCATCACAAACAAACAAACGAGTCAGAAGTGGCAGACTTAAGAAATTAGTAGAAAGGTGAGGAGCTAATGGCAGGTGCACCAACAATTGAGCACCCTGTCGTTTAGTCAATAAAATAATTTCCATTTTTCTGTCGCCTTGGCTTCCTTCATTCAAATTCAGGTACAAAATTCATATGACATCATCAATCAAAGTCTGTATCTACCTTCTCATCAATGTCCTCTGTATCTCTCCATCCATTCCAACCAAAGAAAAAACCCCCTTTTGATGATCCATAAAAATGCAAAAAGTGGTCCATGGGTTCATGTCCAAAGATATACTGATTTGGGAGCAAATTTATGCAATTGTGAAGCAAATCATATCCTGGCATGGATTTGGAAATATGCAGCTAATGGACAGACACTAAGATATGATGTGAAATGTTTCCATGGATCCTTACATGTACCCTTCCAACATTTTCCTACAATTCCAAACATCCTTCCCATTCCCACCATTTTACCCAATCTAGTAAAAGTTTCACCTAAAAGTCCCAAATTCAGAAAAGAGGGAATTGGAAAATCCAACAAAATGTTACTCAATTAGGTGGTATGCTAACTAGGTACCTACATAAGGGAAGGTCTGGGCAAAACACCTCTGCTCACCAGTAAGCAGACATTTGTTAACTAAAATTTGCATCCTCTTTTTAACATACTCACTAAAAGCAGAAATCGTGTATATACTCAGAATAAGAAATGGGAGGCAGAAAGTATAGATTTGCTGAACTCTTTAACATTTACTTCACCAAATGTCACCATAATCTACTGCATTTATGTTATTATGAAGCAAAAGAACTTTATTGTGAGTAACTGGTATGATAATGGATTTTATAGTGAAAATAAGTATCATTCCACCTTCTCTCGCATAAAAAAATTATAATGTAAGCATATACACTTATACATTCACACACACACCACCAACAATCCAAGATAAGTAGAAATGTGTATTCCATTCTCTGTTATCTAATCTATAGCTTTCTCGATACAAGAATAGAATAGACAGTACAGAGCAGTATCTAGAGCTTCACCTAATTCCCAAAAGCAAACAACCGAAGAAACTAGGAGTAATCAATAAAAGATGAACCTTTACAGTAGCCTTAGCAAATCAGAAAAAAAGAAAAACAAAGAAACAAAGAGAGATTAAAGCATACCCATTTCCCTTTCTGTTCTTCCCTATTCAGTATCTGAAGGTAGATATGAAGGAGGAACATTATTAGCAGCAGCACTTTCCTCAATCATCAAATTCTGCAACCCAGGTCTCAACTCTGTGTTACAAAACTGGTCATACTCTGCTTTGTCCCCTGCTTTCTTCTTAACCTCCAAAACCACCAAAGACGGTGTCAATTCGAATATCTCAGCGGCAATCGTTAATGGGCCCTTCACACCTTCCCTAGACCCCTCTAAGCTCACTCTGCAATCCTTCTTCCTCACTGAAAAGCTCACAACTTTAGCAATCTCCTCCAACTTCGATATGATCGTCGAAACCGGCGCACCCGACACAAATCTCGCCTCCTCACCGCGCTCCTCAAACAACCCAGATAAATCAAACCCGGCAGAAAACGAAATTATATCAAATGCATTCAAACTGGCTGGTCTAGGCAAAGATGTAAGCTTTCTTCTGGTCTCAAACTCAGCCTCCGATTCTGACATACAAGATTGATCAGAAAGCGAGCTCACATCACTAAATCTGTCCTCCTCATCGTCTTCAACATTGCAAAGCCTGTCATCATGATCAATGTAAAACTTGATATGCTTAAAACCCTTTTTAAACCACCGATTCTCCATGACATCCGCGATTGTAATCCGAGTATCAGGATTTATATCAAGCAGACGAGTTAACAACCTAACAAGCTCAGCACTGAACCATCTGGGACACCGAAACTCGCCTTTGTAGATCTTCTTGTACATAGCCATAACATTTTGGTCATGGAAAGGCAAATATCCAGCCATGAGCACAAACAACACAACCCCACAAGACCAAATATCGACCTTTGCAGCATCGTAGCCCTTTCGACCCAAAACCTCAGGCGCCACATAAGCCGGCGTGCCACAGAACGTGTGAAATAGACCATCTTGCCTAATCTCATCAGAAACTGCGCTCAGCCCAAAATCCGAGACCTTGAGATCGCCATTCTCATCGAGGAGGAGGTTCTCCGGCTTCAAATCACGGTGGTAAACGCCGCGAGCGTGACAAAATCCGACGGCTGAGATTAATTGCTGAAAGTACTTTCTAGCAACTTCTTCTTTCAGGCGGCCCTTGGCGACCTTGTTGAAGAGCTCGCCACCGCGAACGTACTCCATGACGAAGTAGATCTTGGCCTTGGTGGCCATGACCTCGAAGAGCTGCACGATGTTTGGGTGCCGAACGCGCCTGAGAATTGAGATCTCACGTTTGATGTGAGCGATTAGGCCGCCCTTGAGGATCTTCTCCTTGTCGATGACTTTGATGGCAACGCTCTCGTTGGTTTTGATGTTCTTGGCATGGTAGACTTTGGCGAAGGTGCCATGGCCAAGCAATTTGCCGATTTCGAAGCGAC